ATTTATCCAATTAAATGTTATTACTTTTTCCATGGATTTCAAAACCGGACCTGACCGGATCGAACCGATAATCGAACTGGAAAAACTAGGAAACAGTCAGGTGGCAGGTTCCGTTTTTTGCCAAAACCGGATTTTGGCCGAAAAGAGTTGATTTGGTCAACAAACCATTGACCCGAGTGGTTGAACCATTCGAAACATTCAACGATTTTGACCGTTTTTTATTCTTTTTTATTTTTTTCTATTTGAACGGTCAGATCATTTGACCTGGGAACTAGACCCCTGATCGGTTCATTCTCCGAGTCAATTTTAAAAACCTTGACTTTTTCATGCAAAACTCATATCATGATATATGCAACGGTAAATATTAGATGCAAAGTATGAGATGATTCCTCATCCCATACAACAGGATAATGTGGTTTAATCCACCAAATAAACCCATGAATGATAAATTAACCTGTGGTATAAACCAATCCACAAACACTACGAACCCACAAAACGCCCTTAACAATAGTGATGTAGACCAAAACACATAGATGTTCCATGAAACCGAACACCATCTAAAAGTGTGAATAAATGCCTACCCATTAGAAAATGGAAAAAGCGTTAAAATGAAACTTTACCCTTAACGCTTTCCCCAACCATAAATGTGCAAATAATTCATGGCTTGTTTTTCAAATCTCTATTGGTATGCTGAAGTGGTGCCTGCATTTATTCGACTCAAACACCGCCTAACTCAAAAGCTCTTGCCCCCGAGAGACAGCTCCTAACTTTCAACTTTCAGGTAACATCTAACAAATCACCAGATCATCACTCCTGCCATCCAAGACATTCTGCAGGGGAACCCATTTGATTGACAGATGGCATTGCCAGCTGGACTTTTATAGAATGTTCTAGATTTGTCATTTGTGGTGTATGATGCACTTGTAGGCCCGTTTACGTTGTATTGAAATCTTATACCTCGGCACAATGGACACTTGTCGGTTAGTCCTATCTTTAGAACCCAACATCGTGACCAAAGCTCCAAATCCAATGGCTGTAGATTAGGGTTGACACTCTCTAATTGTCCTTGAAAAGAAAAAAGAAGCTAACGGCGTTTTCCAGTTTTGTTTTTCTCGTTGTTACCGTTGAGAGGAAACCGACAAACCCAACCCAACGGCTATTTTCTTCCTTTCTTCTATAAATGAACCCACGCATCACATCTGTGAGACCACTAAGAAGTAGTTAGAAGCTATTAGTTGTTGTGTTGCCCAGATAGAGATAATCGATAATGGCTTTCTCTAGAGCTCTAGCTTCATCTGTTGTGCTGGTATTTCTCCTTTTCAGCTTCTCAGAAGCCAGAGAAATCTTGGTTGGCGGCAAAACCGATGCATGGAAGATCCCATCTGAGTCCGTCTCCCTGAACCGATGGGCCGAAGCAGCTCGTTTCCAAATCGGTGACACACTGGGTAACTTCCATCTTCAATTCCATGCTTTTTTTACTCATCTGGGTTCATTTCTTCTGCTGCTCCTCTGCTCTAACACACTTGCTTTAATTTGCTCTGCAACTGCAACACAGTTTGGAAGTACGATGCCAACAAGGATTCCGTATTGCGAGTGACGAAGGAGGCTTACTCCAGCTGCAACGTATCGAGCCCCATCGCTGAGTACAAGGATGGCAACAGCAAGATTGTGCTCGACCGGTCAGGGCCATTCTATTTCATCAGCGGAGCCAATGGACACTGTGAGAAGGGGCAAAAGCTGATTGTGGTTGTGCTTTCTCCAAGAAGTAGGTTCATTAGCTTTTCTCCGGCGCCATCTCCGGCAGAAATTGAGGGACCCGCTGTGGCTCCGACAAGCACTGCTACAAGCTTGAAGGGAGGGTTGATGGTTGTACTTGGGAGCTTGGTGGGGATGTTTTTGTTCTGAGAAGAGGAATAGATCAACTGGGTTTGGTGGGAAATTTCATGTTTCCATCTTCAGGGGATTATTTATTCATTTATTGGTTATTTTTGTCGGGAATTTTTTGGGTATGAGTTTGTTACAGTTACTGAAATTATAATAAGATTCCTATAGATTGGATTTATGGTCTTGCGTTCTTTGTGGTTTTGCTTGATTGAATATGCAAATGGACTAAACCTAGTTCTCATTTTCCGACTGCATCTTGAGCAGAAGAAAGAAATTCAGTAAATCAGTATTGGCAGAAATTGATGAAAATAAAACAGACCAGCTGGTTTGAAACAGGTTAATTTTGTTCACCAGAAACATTTTCTTGAAAAAACCATCATTTTATGGTTAAAATTATTTTGAAAAACGAACTTGTTTTCGTGTTTTTCTGATAAATTTCAAAAACGTGAAAACAAATTCTACCAAATTCTACCAAAACAAATTCTACCAAAACAACACCAAACAGACCAGCTCGGCCGGCGGCGATCATTCTCACAGGCGATGGCGACGGCGACTCTAGCAACCCGCGGTGCTCTGCTTCATTTGTTTTAGAGGATTTCCAAAACCCACTAACAACATATTAGAATGAGATTCAAAAAGAATTCTTTAACCTTCACAATAGGATCTGACAAGGAACCCATTATCTCCTTTATATTTTCATCATTAAAATGCAAGTACTCTCGGGCGTAGAGTACTGAAGGGATTTAAGTTATGTAAGGGTAGCACCCCAATCACCACCTACTTTTTGTAAACGATTGTCTCATCCTAAATCAAGCGGTTGACATTCTATCTTTTTTTTTTTTTAACAAATCTCAGGCCAGAAAGATATATAAAGTAAAATCAGGAGAGATATCTAGGGGCAACTCTTCACCTTGAAAACACAAAGAGAAAGAATCATTTAGCCATATAAGATGAACTCAAAACTAGCTATGTGGAAAACAAAATTTCTTTCACAAACTGGAAGAACTACTATGGTTATGGCTGTCCTTCAGCTATACTAGCTTACATTATGAGCTCTTCTATATTGCCAAAGTCTAGTTTCAAAATTAGGGCAGATTCAAAGGAGCTTTTGGTGGGAGGGCTCTTCCTCAAAAATGTCTTTCCACACAATTTCATGGGACAAATTGTGTAGAACAAGAAGAGAAGGGGGTTTGAATTTTAGAAAGTTAAAGGAATTCAACAAATTTGGAGATTGTTCACTAGTGAACATGGCTTATGGCAAAAAGTAATTAAAGAGAGATACATAAAGAATCAACCACTATTCAATTTGAAGAAAAAATCCTCTGATCCTAGATGGTGGAAGCTGGTTGAAACTATGAATCTTTATGTTATAGATCCATGGGTCCCTACTATATATAGTTCAAAACCAGTTTAGAGGAGTCGGTTTAAGGCTTGGCTACTACTCTCTGAATCAGTGTCTGATCTGGTACAACCCCTAGAGAGGCGTATTTGGGAAGCCATCGGCACGATATGTATCGACCAATATTTCGATATTTTGAACATTGACTACAACAACTCTTTACTATTGAGAGTGATAACCAAATTTCTCATATTATTATCTCTCCATCCCTACCTTCAGATCAATTGATGTGGAAAGGATCCAAAAATGCCAAGTACAGTGCTAAATCTGGTTATTTTTTCTTCATGAGTTAGCACCCCTCACCTTTCGATCCTTACTTGAAATGGAACATTATCTGGAAATCAAAAATTCCCCTGGGGTTCCAACTTTTCATGTGGAAAGCGTGGTGGAATGGGATGATCCCAACTAAAGACAAATTACTGTTTCTGCATAAGTCAAGAGAAGATTTGTTCTATCTGTAAATCTGAAGTAGAGACATTGGAGCATCTCTTCTTCAACTGCCATTTTGCGCGAGCCATTTGGATTCATGCCCATCTTGGTATAAATCCAGAAGCAACACACAATAAAATGATGCATGAAATAATCGAAAACCGGAGAAAGGAAGAGCTTAGCCTACTGTGCACAAGAAGATGAATCCCACTTCACAGGCCTTTTCTTTATTCTTTTCAGATTAATTTGGGGTATGAGGAATGCCTCATCAATACATAATGGCAAGGTCCTAGACCTAGCCCAACTGATAGCCAGAGCAAAGACATATCTGTCAGAATTCAAATTAAGTCTTTATATGTGTTAACAGACTCTATTAAAGTTGTTAATAGATTTTATGATGCTGAGGAGGTTGAGTGGATCATAATGCCGATCAAGGAGAATATCTTTACTCTATACTAAACTTTTTTGATATAATATGTATAAATCATATTAGTAGATCTCTTAGGCCATGTTTAGGAGTTCTTATGTTAAAAATAAGTGTTTATTGAATAAGTGCTTAAAACAAGTGCTTATTCGAATAAGCACTTATTTGCATTTGGTACCCAACCTTTTCAAGTTTAGTGGTCTTTTTCTTCAATAAGCACTTAAATAAGCAATTGTGACTCTTTTGTCCTTCATTTCCTTTCAAATTTTCAAAATATCCAATCCAAAGTGAATGAATAATCGTACTTTGATAGAAGTGCTTTTATAAAAGTACTTTTACAAAAGTGCTCTCATAAAAGTACCTTGAGAAAAGCACTTCCATAAAATACTTTTATAAAAGTGCTTTTGTAAAATGTTCTTTAATAAAATCACTTCCGTATAAGTGCTTTCGTAAAAGTGCTTTTATAAAAGTACTTTTRTAAGAGTGTTTTCATAAAAGTATTTTTAAAAAAAGTACTTTGATATAAATGCTTTTAAAAAAAGTACTTTTGTAAAATTATTTTCGTCAAAGTACTTTTACAAAAATACTTTTATGAAAGTACTTAGTAAAAGTGCTTATCTCTGGAGCTAAACCCCCATGAAACAATGAAATAATGAGCCCCTCATGCATCCCACACTCTTCTCTCTACTTCTACCCAATCAGTAGTTCAAAACCATGTGCCTAAGCTGGATGATTAGCATCGGACATTGGTTCAGGACTTCAACCCTGCTGGGGCATTCTGGTGTTCTTTTCTGCTAAAGTTGAGATAAGGTAGGTCTCTCTCTCTCTCTATATATATATTGGATTCCACCATGAAAAAGGAGATCCGGAGGCAAATATTCTATACGTACTTCAGGGTTTAGTATGGAAGGGTAACAAGGTAAACTAAGAAGAACATGTACTAAGACAGAATTTAAAGCTGAAAGTAATTTCTGCAAAGCAAGTACAAACAAACACACTAGAAACAAATGACGAAAGCAACCACATACAAAAACAAATCAGCTGTGAATAAATAATTCGGTGTTGAGAGAGAATATTGCCCTTGAATTAAATAAGAAGATCGAAAATTTGAAGTAGTTTTTAATTGCACTACATGCAAAACACAAAACAGTCAAAATTCTAAGCAATTTTATCAAGTTATAACCTAGGTTTTTTATTTATTGATGAGGTTTCAGCAAAATCTAAACATTAAGGAACTATATTAGGATCAAATGCCAATGTGTGTGAGAGAGAGATACTTGTCGATCTTCCTTTACAGTTGGAGTTTCAACTTTTTGCTCTTTCTTAAATCAAAGAGAGAGAGAGAGAGAGAGAGTCGGCTGGGAGAGGAGAGGGTAGTAAGAAGACAAATAGTGAAGAGGGAAAGGCACGGAGGAGGAAAAGTGTATGATTTATATTGCGGCAATCGATTGATCTTTAGCGACAGTTTTAAACGACTTCTGCTAAAGAAGGATATTTCTAGCGGCCGTCACGGAACAACCAGTTTGAAAACTGCCGCTAGAAATGTAATTTTTTATGGTGAATGGGCCCTTTCTCCTTCATTGTATGGATCTTCTTGGCTTCAATGAAGAATTCTATTCACTTGTAATTGCTTAGCCTCTTCCTCCATGCGTATTCTTGTTAATAGCAGCCCCAGTAAACCTTCTAAACCAAGCAGATGACCTTTCATTATTTGTTTGAAAGTACTCTCTGGAGTGCTTTCAGAAGATCTTAAAGCTGGCAACATGGCTATGTTTGGTTTGAAGGAAAAAGTAGGAAAACCTTTACAAATCTTGTATAAGTWTCCCTACCTTTCTCTACTTTTTCCTTCCAAACCAAACACAGCCTAAAGGTTTTAAATTCGGGAGATGTAGTTTGAAGCTAAATCTATCTCTTGTTTGCGGATGACTTTATTAGTTGTTGGGGAAGCAACCATGGCGGAGGTTCAGAAGTAAATCAATTTTGGATGGTTTTCTGCTCTTGCTCTGAACAAGTGGTGAACTTGATAAATCTTCATCCTCTCACAAGAAAATCTGAAATTATGGATCTACTGGGTGTACGTTAATGAAATGAAGGCGGAAGATTTGTATGTTGGATCGAGGTCCTCTCCTTAATACTTGAAAAAAGCATTCAACTTGGAATCAGCACTGGAGGCAAATTGACAAATTTTCTAATTAGCATGGTCCTCTCACAAGTCACAACCTTCACACGTGGGGTAATTGTTATGTGGTTCCTTTTATGGAATTAATGCCCACTTGAACTCTTATCCCAAGGTCTTTTGATGCTAATTACCAGAACACTTGTATTCCAACCCATCAGCCCAGTTGTAGTTCTGATCATTTAATTCAGGGGTGGACTAAATGGTGCGTCACTCATTCTGCCATACGCTTGGCTATCAAGGATCCATCATAATGGAGTATGGTGCTTTCATCTTAATTTGGTAGAACTTCTCTGTGGTCTGTGCTCTCTCCTTCAATTCGATGCTCTTCTCCTGCTGAAACTGAAGGCTGAAGCGTTGGCTTGGCGATTCTGGACCTAGCGCCTGATGTGATGCCAAAGCTATAATTGATTCTCTTTCTTCAGATGCAGACAGCAGACCCTCCTTGGAGGAGTATTAATGTGTAAACTACATCTTGCTTTTCTTCTTCCAGATTCCGGGTTTAAACTTTAAACATAGATGTGCTTATGCTATGACCCGGCCAACTTCTATCATCACGTTTAAACTGAGCGTCGTATTTGTTATATGTCGACCAAACTCAAAACCCAACGCAAATTGCAAATCAGATATAGGATTGATTATAGGGGTTGGTCTAATTTGGTTACGTTGTGCTGGGGTGTCTGTTGGGCGGAGAACAAAAGAGTTGCATAAACTTGATGAATAGTGAGACAAATCCCACGTGTAAAAGGATGAATGTTATGTATAAGAGGATAACTTTGACAGATATCATGCACAACACAAAACGTGCATGGTCGTGACTCGTAATCCACGCATCTATGCCAGCTATTCAGAACATTCTGTGACGGACCCACTGGATTGAGTCTGACAGATGGCGGGGCCAGCTGGACTTCTGGAATGTTCTTGATGTGTGTGGTGCTGGTGTGTATGTTACACTTTTGACAGTGACAGGATGCATAATGCGTTCAATAATCAATACTACAGCTAGGCCCCCGTAATTCGTTGAGTTCAAATCTTGTATCCCGATATCGTGACAAAAGTTCCAATCCAACGGCCTTTACGCAGAGGATAACACCGTGATGGTCCTCTCTAAAGAAACACATCGGTAGTCTCGTCTCGTTCGAGTTCCAGGTGAGCTTTTTCTGCTGCTTCACCCATTTTTACCGTTGAAAAAAAAAGAAACCCAGACCCAACGGCTATTTTCTTCTTTCCCTCTATAAATGGAATGGACAGACCCCTCACTTAACAAATCTCGCTCGGCCGCTCTCTCTCTCTCTCTCTCTCTCTCTCATTCTCACTCTTTGAGACAAGACCAACCACAGAGTGTTTAAAGCTTTTACTCTTTTCTCTGTGACTGTGTTTCTCAGATTGATTATCAATGGCTTTCTCAAGACCTCTAGTGTCATCCATGTTGCTCGTCTGTCTCCTCTTCAGCTTCTCAGACGCTAGGGAGATCTTAGTTGGCGGTAAAACAGACGCATGGAAGGTCCCATCCTCTGAATCCGAATCTCTAAACCGATGGGCCGGAGCATCTCGTTTTCAAATCGGAGACTCACTCGGTAACTTCCCATCTTTCTATCCTAAGCTTTTTACTCATCTGGAGTCATTGTTTCTGCTACTCTAGTCATAACACATTTGCTCTCTGCTCTGCCCCAGTGTGGAAGTACGACGCCAACAAGGACTCAGTATTGCAAGTGACCAAGGAGGCGTACGCCAGCTGCAACGTTTCGAGCCCCATCGCTGAATACAAGGATGGAAACACCAAGATTGTGCTCGACCGATCTGGGCCATTCTATTTCATCAGCGGAGCTAATGGACACTGCGAGAAGGGGCAGAAACTGATAGTGGTTGCACTTTCTCCGAGAAGTGGGTTCATTAGCTTTTCTCCGGCCGCATCTCCGTCTGAAATCGAGGCCCCTGCAGTGGCTCCAACAAGCAGTGCTACAAGCTTAAAGGGTGGCTTGATGGTGGTGCTTGCGAGCTTGGTGGTGGGCATGGTTTTGTTCTGAGAACAGAGGATAGATCAACTGGTTTTGCTGGATTTAAGGGTATATTTGATTCATTTATTGATTTGTTTTTTGGGGATTCTTTTTTGGGCATGAATTGTTACAATTAATATAATTATAATGAAATTTATATAGATGGATTGTCTCTATCTTGTTCTTGTGTTTTTCTTTTTTTTTCTTTTTCTTATTTTTTCTGGGCTGCAATGCATACTCTAGGTTCTAGGTTCCATGTCTCCCATGGATGGCCTGTACTTGTCAGTTGTCACTATGTTCATCCAAAAACTTTTCTGTGGCCTGTACTTGTCACAAAGACCTGGTCCTATATTGAATTGGATTGAGATAAGAATCAATGGACCAAGTTTAGGTTAGAATTAATTTGGATGSTTCAGACATTGAAATAGATCGGTCCAAAATGATCTGAAATATCCATTGCATTATATTAAACCTGGTCCTATTATCGGTTATCACCCCTAATCGTGATAACCGATAATAGGCGGGGTCATGATCCACGATCAAATTTGGACTAAATCCAGTCCAATCGACACCCCAATTGTGCCGACTACTAAGCGAATCGAGATCCGCTCGCGCCCTACAACCTCACATGTATATTCCATCGTACATTGACAACGATCTCTCATAAATAATAACACATAATTACGAAAGATGTTCACAGTGCATGGTGGTGTGCCTGTGAAGCCGGTGTGAGACGCCATGTGTGAGTAGCAAATCTTGGAGACTGAAGGCGCCTTATTGAATATTTGGGAGTTTCTAATTCTAACACAACACTGAAGTCTGAACCCTCTGATAAGCGTCGGAAACAGGAATCAGAGAAATTCTCATTTTGGTGGTGTTATTTTTTGGCTTTTGATTTATATAAAAAAAACAACCATATGTTTTTTAATTTAAATTATCAAAAGTTAAATTTCTAAATTATAAAACAAAAGCATTTCAGAAATGGGCTATAAATAGTCCATATGAGACTAAGAGGGAAACTGGCCCTTAAACCTAATGAGCGTAACCCTTATTAAACCTATAAAGTCCATATGTAAAATTATAAATAATCTATTTTGAAAAAGCAGAAATAGAATAGAGTAGTGGCAAATATTTTTGCTTTGAAAATTAAAAAAAAAATAAAGGATAAAATAGTCTTTTTCATCTTTTCGTTAGCAGACACTAACGACAAGGGAGAATTTAGAATGTGTTTAGTTCATACATACCTATAAATAGTCCATACGTAAAATTATAAATTATTTTGAAAAAGCAGAAATAGAATAGAGTAGTGGCAAATATTTTTACTTTGAAAATTAAAAATAAAAAAAATAAAAGATAAAATAGTCTTTTTCATCTTTTCGTTAGCAGACACTAACGACAAGGGAGAATTTAGAATGTGTTTAGTTCATACATAGGATGGGAATTGAAATCAAAATCGGAACCACCTGTTTGGTTCAGTCAAGAATTGGAATCGAATTCTGATTATTGCTTTTTGGTTCAAGTAGAAATTGGAATCAGAATCACCCAAATTTTCTAATTATGCCCCTGTTAAAAAAACCTCAAAAACAACCACTTTTTATATATTTTCAATACACACATTGGCAACCTGCTAACAAGTGCATATATATGAAGAAACTATGAAAAAAATGATGAAAAGAAAAACACAAACAAACAAGAATCACAAAAAAAAAAAAAATCTCTCCACCATAAAAAAAATGAAAAAATGTACGATGTTTCACAAAACCCATCTACAAAAAGTTGACCCTTTAGAACCTTTAGACTGCGTTTGGTTGCAATATTTACCCATTTTTTGGTTCATGAATGCAAACACAGTTCACATTTTAACTCATCATTAAATGCTCCAAGTATCATATGATTTAATACCTCAACTTTGGTCAAAAAGTTAATTATCAAGAGAGCACAAAATTATATCCAAAAAATAGTATTAATGCTCTCTTTTCCTAGTATAAAAGTGTCAGAAATGTGCCAAACAAAATTACTAACATCAGATTGTCTATATTTGTTCTGTTCATACATGAGCCAAATGGGAAATTGTGTCTGTCTAACTTTCACAAATGTGCCAAACAAATTACTAACATCAGATCCTGCAAATTTTGGGATGATATCGTGCTTGTGTATCTGCAGAACAAAAAGGGTAACATAGTTAAACAGTTAAACTGAGAAGAGAATTTTGGGGAAAAGAACCAACTCACCCAAAGCTCAAACATTAAAAATAAATTAGGCCGTCCAAATAAATCAGTAATCTCACACAAAAAAATTGATAAGACATAAAGTGTGCCTTTGCTTCCTATATATAAAACTAATCATGACCATAGCCATAGACCATGGTTAATCAAATTCACAATCTTGTGAATTAGCTCACTAAATATCACTGAGCAAATTTATTGAACAATCTCAGCAGCTGTGACACTATAGGTCTGTAATCTTGCATAATCATCTATTTTACAAGCCAAAACCTTGGAAAATATAAAAGTACAATCCAAAGATACAGAATGCAGCATAAAAAATGAAATGATAAGTAAAAAATATTGAACTTTTCATAAAACAAACAAAAATACCTTGTTAGTTTGCTTCTTTAAATGTTTAAGTCTTGCTTTTTTATCAACGGAAAATTTGAAGCCCCTGCAACCATTGAGTTGACACCTGAAGATGGTCCTTGGATATAGACCATAACTTTGGATGGTTGTTCCTCATTTCTAAAAGAACCTACCATTTCATGCCACCTATCATCATTAACCTCATCTTGGCCCCCATTGACCCATTGGTTATCCACACTAAGTGCAAAATTTACATTTTGAGGACTAGTTGTTCCTGGACTAATGCAAACCCAAGCAGATACTTGGTATGTCAGGTATCTGTGATCATCTGAGCAGGGCCCATCTAGGCCTGTGTATCTCTCACAAGGATGTAGCAGCCACTTAAGGGTTCATGGGACCCGTGGGAATCTCTTGCCATTGAAGAAAGTTGATGAGGAGAGCTAGTGCCCACACTAAGAGTACAGTTACCAAGAGCTAGTCCAAAAGCAGGATTCTATAAAACAAAGAACCATACATGTGATGCTTAGAACACTAAAAAATGACTCTCATAAGAAGGCTTGCATCAAACATCTCACATATATGGAAATTACTGTGTATGTCTTGCATTAGATCCTTCCCCTTCTATCTTATCCCTCCCTTACCTCCTAGTTCTTCCTTCCTTTTAGATCCACACTTGACTTTTATTCAGCCATCCCCTCTACTACCTCAGCTTCATTCCAACTCTCAAAGCACTAAACATTCATATACAAATTTATCTTTCCTAAGAAAAAAAATGAACTCATACTTAATTAACCGATTTTTTAGTGGAGAAGGGAAGGAGGTAATTAATTTTAACCGAAGTAATCTATGATCTCCAAGATAAATAAAGGAAATGAAATTTCAAATTTGGAAGACGAATTGCATATAGAACATAAGGATCTTGGAGGGGGAATTCCCCCCTCCCCCCCCCCCAACCTGAGTGAATTCAGCAGGGGGTGTTTTAGGAGTTATAGGTCCCTCTAACAAATATAACTCATACTAGAGAAGGGGAGGAAGTGATCATCTTGGAAGTTCTACCTTGGACAAAATAAGGAAATTTGTGGAATTTATCTATTTTTTAAGAACAAAGAAAATGATGCTACCTAGAGAGTAAAGACCCACAATATGGTTCAGTCCCAACCCCACCCTTCAAAAGACTATATTGGTAATCAAATTAGAAAAACCAAAGATCCATCAAAGAATGATCAAAATCATCTCTGCTCCAACCAACAAGAGTCACCTTGCACATCTACCTGCTAAAACCTTGGAGAAATGCATCCACCTGAGGCTGAGGCCATAAAGCAAGGCCAGTATTCCAACTGATAAAAACTAGTGATCTAACGAACAAGTGTTTGTAGGGCTGGAAATGGATCCAATTAAGGTTTAGGAATGGATTAAACATACCAGAAAGATGCAGTTAAGGTCAGAAGGCAGTGTTCCATCTTTATGGAAACAGGAATCAGCATCTGATACATATCTTGGAGTCCATTTACAGCACAAGATTAAGTGATCTGTACAAGTTGGAAGGGATAGAAGAACCAGGGGAAGACCAAAAAGGTTAAGCAAACTTCGGCATGACTTCAACACAATAAAAGCACAGACTGAAAATTCTGAAATTCACCAATTAAAAAAAAACAATCTCAAGTTTATTTTGGAGCTAATCTAGTAATAGGATCCTCAGATGAGCCTACACTTTTTTTTTTTTTGAAATAGGTGAAGTATAATATCTTTGAATAGAGCAAAAAACATGTACGACAAAGAGCTATACACAGGGATTTACAAATGCTGCCCATGTAGTCCTATACCCCCAAACCCTAATTTACAAATGCATGTCTTGGAAGTTCCAATAGCTGTCATTATCAGTACACAAATGCATGCCTACCAAACACTTGCAAAACTGACCCAGAGTGCATTTATGTATTGAACTAGCATTTGCATCGCAAACAAATGCAGCCTAATGAACAAAAGTTGCATGCACTAATATACATGGACATAGAGGAGGGAGGGAAGGGAAGCAGCCATTTGAGAGGAGGTTTGTTGGACCAATTACTTGGGTTTTAGATGCCATAGTTTTACTCTAAAAGATGAAATTCTATTGACAACCAACCATTTTCGTTTTCTATAAACTTCAATGTTGTAAAACTGAGTAGCAAGATGAAGAGAATAGCTTTGCACATTTAAAATCTTAGGGGTGAGAGAGCATTTAGAAATTTGTAGTAAGACAAGTTTACTCGAACCTGTATCAATAGATGGCAAAACAACCCACTGACCACTTAAGWCTACACCTTCATTTTGGTAATTGTTTCTGTTTTAAATTTTAATATTTACTTTTCTATTAGAACAATATTGGTGTCCAAAATAATTTAAGATATACATGGCATGTATTTAATTCTTGTATACTTTTTCACATTTTTCAAGTGTGGCCTAATAGTTCACACTTCACATAAATATGTTTCTTATATGTATATACCTCATTTATAATCATCTAAGACTTGAATTTAGTGTTATTGAATCATTAGGATTTATTGGAGTTTCACTAGAAAAGTGCATGTGCATCCTAATTTTTCCTCTGTATGCATGGGTGTCCAAAGCGTTGCATCTCTTAAGTTTGCCTTTCCTACATTTTTTGCCTTTCTAATACTATGAACCTTGATTTTAACACTAAAGCATTAAAAATGAAAACAATTACTTATAATTTAATTCAAATTGCATAAAATCATCACATGATCAACATTAATTTTCACACATTTGAGGAAGTGGTAAAAACTGAATTTATTAGAAAATACAATTCACCATAACCCCACAGATAAGATTAGTAATATTTTATTCAAAATTAAGTTGCATTACAATTAGACCAAATTTTAAAATATATAACTGTTATTTGCTTAAGTAGTGTTAAAAATCTTTTGGTAATAGAAACTCTACTGCCCTTGTTATTTGGAGGCCATCAAGCCACAAAAGACTTGGATTTGTGAGGAAATTTGAATCAAGTACAACTCACACGTACCAAAATATCTCAAAACATATCAACCGTCTAAGAAAAAAGCAGAACAAAATCCATCCAATTCGCTAAAGTAACATCAGAAATAAAAAATAATTAATTAATTAATTAATTAAACCAGTGTTCTTGAAATGGGGAAAAAACAAGTAAGAAAAAAAAAAACATGACCCATCACTGACTCGAGTGGTTGTGTTACAGAATCAATAACTATATTAGTAGGATTCAATGAGCTGATCAATTCCAAATATCACAAGAAAAATACTTTAAACCTCTTCCACAAGTTAAAAGTCAATATCAGAATCCATCATAGTCTGCTATTCCTCCTTGCTGACTTCAAGATGTTTAAGTTTTGATTCCAATTCATCCCCATTTTCATCACCCTTCTCTTCCTCTTCATCACTTTCTCCCCCTTCCTCATCATTCTCATCAAAGGGCCCTAGCCCATCAGGTGATTTCTTGAATGTGTCCTTTACCTCATAAATACCTTCACCAGAAATGCAATTCCCATTGATATTCAGCAACTTAAACTCAGGCTTATTTACCACAGATTGTGCTAAGGACCTCACCCCAGCCCTTCTTACTGAATTAGTGCTGAAATCAACTTCTTTTAATAGGCCATGGCCTTCTTCCAGTGTTTTTCTGATCAAAATAGCATCCTTATCCTTCAGTTCATTCTTAGCCAAGTTAGGCTTAGCTAAGGCTGACCATGCAGTCCTATACCCCCAACAAAGAGCCATTAATAATATCACTTGCAAATCACAAACTCTGTATTCACAAGTGTCTCATCTCACAATATTAATTTGCATAACATTAACATAAACAAGTGTCTCATATCATATTCAAATGAATGTAGAACATTGAAAGCAACCAAAACAAGTATTTCAGGTGAAGCACACTAAAACCGTGCTGTTAAATACTTTGAATATACACAAACTTTGCTAAAAAATTTCTATTCACATCTATATCAGAGGTATTCTATAACAATGTAAAAAAATATCAACGAATCAGATTGAAATTTCTATTTCCTGGATTGACTGGTGTGAAAAGCTCATCAATGGTAGCAGTGAAGAAGTAGGTCGATCCCGACTAGAGCAAGGGCGGATCTGCAAAAAATAAAAAATATATTTCAATTAGTGAAAAAAAAGGAGTAGGAAGAGGAGGCGGAGAAGAAGAAGAAGAAGAAGAAGAAGAAGAAGATCCTGAACTGGGTCAGAGAATGGGCTGTTGATTTGGAAGGAGGAGGACAATGGTTCGGCAGCGGTCTTACCTCACCGGAGGTCRGTTCAACTCTCTGTTCGGCATGGAAGATGGGTTGGATTTGCTCACAGTCTCTGTTTGGCAACAGCTATTTGTTTGACTAGGGTCAGAAATGAAGRGGGTATTCTTGTCCAGAAAACAAAAAATGAAAACATAAACCAGAATGGCAATCGCATTCCCTAGGAGGGGGTTGGGAATGGCCATTCCCCCATACGGGGGATTCCTATTCCGCCTAGAATGGGAACGGGATTTCCATTCTGGTCAACCAAAAACTTGAATGAGAATGGGTCATTCTGATTCCGATTCCAGGCTTCTATTCCCTCGAACCAAACAGACTCTTAATCAATTGTCAGAAAACATAGGAATAGAGTTGGTCAATTTACTAAAACTTTGGGATACTTAAAAGATTTGCCCCAAAAAAAAGTTCCAACCAACAAGTACGCCTTTGCAGGACACTAGACTAATTCATGAGCACAATTCAGGTATGACATGCTGATTAGTGTAAATTTCAGTAATTCTAGCTGCATTTATAGAACATGGGAATACCAAAGAAAAATTGGTTTTTCATGGTAAGAAAATATCAGATATCTATTACAATGAGTAAAATGAAATTCTATAATCATTTCTCAAAAAGAACAAATGATGCAAAAGATTCAAGCTATATATCCAAACCAGCACCAAGGAAAGCTGTCACTAATCCAATGTGGTCTCCACCAGCTGAAGGGTTCACAAAATTAAACTTTGATGAAGCAGTGAAGGCAACCCCAGGCCTTCTAAGTATTGAAGGTGTATCCAGGAATCAGGAAGGACAGGTCTTGGCTCGATTCTTTGAATCAATTGGTGTAGGAAATTCTCTCAAAGATGAAATTTTGGCTGCTTTGGAAGGGTTAAAAAGAGCAAAAGAATTAAATATTCATAGACTGATCATTGAAGGCAATTCCAAGTTAGCTATTGGCTGGTTAGAAAAAGAAGATAATGGACTGTGGGAATTTGCAAATGAAAGGAAAAAACTAAAATGGTTTTCCAGAGGCATGGAAGTAAGATTTATGGGTTAAAAGGAGTGCTAACTCCTTGGCGGATGCCTTAACCAAACAGGGGGTTGGAAGGGTTCAATCTATGTGGGATTGTTTGTAATCTTTTGTGCTCTTGTCTTTGGGGAGGGCTGAGARAGTTTACCTCTCCTCTTGGATGTAATTGTTGTTCTTTCTTAATAAAATTTCTGTTATTGATAAAAAAAGWTCCATGCTATATATTAAGTAGGACAACAAAGGCAATAATTTTTTTTTTCAAATAAGTATAAAAAACTTTCTTGATCTTAAGAAAAGTGAAATAATGTTAAAACACAAACATGGCCCCTTCAGTAGTGTAGCCTTGGACTAAAACCACAGGAGTAGCTGATCCAAGTGAAAGAACCATGGATTGGATGCTATAACTTTGTTCTGTCCATACCAAATTTTAATAACAGACCTGATCCAAGTGAAAGAACCATTGCAAGAAAAATCCACTATGCACGTTAGCGTAGCCTTGGGCTAAAACCACAGGAGTAGTTGATTTCACCTCGAACTATTCACTGTAAATCTCTTGTTTCAGGCCCCCAGAGTCCAATGACTACACTACTCTCAAATCTCAATCCCTGCAATAAGGCTAAAATTTCTGCTCTAATAGTTTGTTTCATGACAACTGTTATTAAAATCTTAGTTTCATACATGCTTCTAATTAATAACAGATGAGAATTTAATAACATTAAATAAACATTAAATAACCTTGATCCACTTTTTCCATGTGTCAATGTTAACCTGTTATATTCATTTGTTAACTAGGGAAAGTTTACACCCTTTCATTTGCCGGGCCCTTGTTGTTTCCTGCAAAATCACCTGACCTATCAATATCATGCTTTGAGTAAAAGGAAATAACATGATGTATCTGATGACAAAGTGCAACAGTTACACAATCACTGAATGGGACAAATATAGATTTCTGAAGCTTGGGGCAGCATTGTTAGTTCTATTTTTACTGACAGCTCAACATACCCAAAAAAGAGAGAAGAAAAAATGATACAGAAATTCTTTTTAGAGTTTAGCACAAGATATTCAAGCTTTAAACCAGACAGTTTTCTGTTTTAATGACTTGTCACTGCTCCTTAACATTCTTAAATTCGACATAGAGATACATGAATCAAACCAGCAGTAATCTCTTGGGTCAGTTGTATTCCAGTAAAAGGTCGGTCACTAAGTTTCCTTAAGACACAACAAACTATAAAAACTCTGAGAAGACCAGAATTTGGCCTTCTATCTTTCTGGTTCCCAGTTCTCAGAAAAAATGTAATGAACTCCCAAGGAGTGAAATAGGACATGCACATAATGCAGGTAAGCTTGTAGTGATAACCCAGTTTCATGATTGAAGATTTGCTGCTCCAACATAGGGATGGCAAAGCCATTCTATTCAAACAGGATACTTTGATCCAACAAGCTGATCTTTAAACATAATGTTCCACAAAGTGGCCTACTTGCTGGGCCAACTCCTTCAGGGTTCCACCCATGGCTACAGGGCCTTCCCAAAGCAGTAGTGGTAACTGGTGTCATGAAACTGACATTACTCTCCATTTTTTGGCTCTCAAGTCAGACCAGAGAATGATAGTTGAAAGAGTATCATCTTATCTCTTCATAGGTCTAAAGACTTTCCTCCCTCTAATGTGGCCTTTTGTACAAGGGATCCGGATATCTTCATTTCCATTTTGGAGTGGCCCTCCTTTATGACATTTATTACCTACTAATGGCTCCCTCAAGAGCTTCTCAAGCTCAGGATCATCTAAGAATCCCCTTGATCTCATTTCTGCATAGAATTCTCTAGCCTTCATCAACCACCCACATGCAGCTAGGCCCTGAATAAGTGCAGCATAATGAGCAGAATCAGGCAATAGCTCATATTTCTCTATTTCCAGCCACATCTTCAATGCATTCCCTGGTTGCCCTAATTTGAAGAATTTGTTGAGAACCAGGAGATAAGTATGACTATTAGGACCACAATGAGCCTCTCTCATTTGGCTAAGCATTTCTAAGGTTCCTTCCACATTCATCCCTCCAATAAATGCATGATAGGTTGTAATAGTTGGCTTGAGGCCCTCCCTGACCATGTTGGCCCATACATTTCTTGCTTCAACCAGCTTATGTGCTTCACATAGAGGAAGAATGATTGCATTGTAAGTGGAAGAATCTGGTCGCAGACCTGTTTCTTTAATCTTATCTATGACATGGAGAGCTTCTTTCAAACAATTCTCCCGAGTAAGCACATTAATGAGTGAGTTGTAAACCTCTAGGCCTGGTATCCAACCCCTCTTCTTCATCTCATCATAGAGTCTCAGTGAATCAAAGAGATTCCCATCCTTGGAGAAGCAGGATATCATACAGGTATAAGAAGTAGCATTTGGAGTGACACAGTTGTTTGACATTCCTCTCCAGACTCTCTTGGCTTCAACTACATCAACTGAAATATTACACCACCCATTGAGAATTATGTTGAAGCCCTCAGTTTCCAAAGGAAAGACCTTCCTGTTTATAAGCATGAATTCTTCAGCTTCTTCAATGTTTCCATGCTTACAGAGAGCACGGAGGAGGATGAAGAATGCTTCTGTATCAGGGATTATTTTGAACCTGTCCATAGCGTGAAATGTTCTAATGGCTTTGCTTGGATTGTTGGCAGCTGCATACCTAATAAACACCAAAAGAGAAATCAAGAGAAGAACCATGAGTTAGTATTTTTTACTGTAAGATAAGAGTAGTCCAGAAATTGGCAAGAGGTAAAAACTAAAACTGCATCCATCAAAACAAAGTGCAAGATGGATAATATATATCTTGAATTTTTCACAGCCAACAAAAAGGAACATAGGTAGAAGAAATAAGGGAAGACCAAAAAAGAGATGGATTGAAGTAGTAAGAAATGATTTAAGGGCCTATAGCTTAACAGTTGATATGACACTAGATTCATGAAGGCAACCCTATATGGTTGGGACAAGGCTTAGATGACGATGATGATGATCTTGACAACCAACAAAATTGACCAGAATGTTCTTTCTTTTTTTTAATTATTTTTTAACAAGCTTTCAATACAAAGTAAAATAGAAGTGAAAAACATTAGAAAGTAGAAACAAAGATTGAACAGAAACAAAAAACTGATTTAACTGTAACATAACAAATAACAGATGTTACTACAAGGGATGCAAGAAGGAAACACACTACTCAGTTACAGGATAATTGTCTTTTTCTGGTTACAATTGCAAGAGGAATGGTACATAATTATATAAAGTCAAATAGTCATATAAGTTAATGCTCCATACAGAAAATAAACAGCTAATAATATCAATACCAGAAACTCAAGCCAAAAAAGAAAACATTTTTCCTGAAGTTTGAAATAAAAGAAATAATTTTCAGCTCTACAAATAACTCAAATAATTCAAAAGCAAACGAAAATCAGAAATTTTTCACGCTTTTCTTTCTTCATTCAGTGGAGACATCAAAGCAGAAAACTCCTGTAGAGAGTTAGATTAAGCAAAAAATAAAAAACCTATAAAAGGAACCAAATGATCCTCAAAAAATTCTAACTTGTTCCTCTTAAACAGCTAACTCATCTTGAACTGGGATATCCAACAAAGAGACCTTAAGTACAAAGGAATAGTGCAACCTGCTTATCATGATGAGCAATGCCCGTCGGGTAGACAAGGAAAACCGATGCATATCCCTAATAAGGCTCCAGGCGGTTCTGAAACTCCTGTGCTTACCCAACACCCAAATCATCAAATTCCAAACGTCTGCACTCTGACATCCCCATCTCTCGCCCCATCTGAAAGCCAAAAGGGCCAACTCCCATTCATGTCGTAGTGCCCAAATTGCTGAATAAACCAAACCACGAGTGGGCCGCACCCCTGACTCCTCGAGAAAAGCAGTAGCATCTCCTTCTGAGGGTAATTGCTTCGTCTGCTTGAGCGTTTCGAGAAACCCATCAAGACCCGGCTCGTTCGGATTGCATGTTTCCTCTCCATCCACCTCGAAATCACTTGTGTCGTAGTTGGGAGAGGATTCGAGGGGCGAGATTTGGTATTTTTGGAGGTGGGTCTGAGAGGGTGAGAAGAAAGATGGACTAGTTGCAGAAGAGTGGAAAGAGTAAAAAGTCTGTAATGAAATATTGAAAGGCTGGTGAAAACTGGGGCGGAAGAGCAGGGAGACGAGGAGTAAAGGCTTGGCCCTTCTCCTAACAGCGAGGCTAAAAAATGCCACTGCCATCAATATTTTCTTGAAGTATCTCTGCTTTAAACCAAGCTGCCAAAGCATCTGTACCGGGGCCGGTCGGAGGATAATTGGGTCCAAACCTCCCCGGTTCGATTTCCCTAAGGAAGATTCCGTCCAACTAATTGAACCAGCCAGTAAAAGCCAAAATAATAAAACCCAAACTACACCTCTCTCGTTCCAACTCCCCAAATTCCATCATCTCTCGGAAGTTAGAATACTTGAATATACCACCGGCAATAGGGATGCAAACGGATCGGATTCGAATCCAATCCGACACTATTTATGTTGGATTCGATCCGATCGGATCTGATAGGATTCGAATTCTGGTAAGTATTCGACTTATTTTCTTTAAAAATTAAAAATTAATAAGTTTTTAAAAGAAAAATAAAATATACTAATTTAAATAAAGTAAAAACAAAAAATATAAGTATTTTTTAATTATTTTCATCATATATATATATATGTTTTTTATAAAAAAAATAAATAATATAACAAATTTATAAAAATATATTTATAAATAAATAAATAACATGTATATTATATATATGTATATAATATAAGCATATAATATATATCAAATCATATCTTCTCGAATCGGATAGGGATAATTTGAATCCAATCTGATTTCTAATTGGATTCAATTCGAAAAAGGGTGATCGAAATTCGATAAAAAATGACCGGATCTTGGATCAGATCATGATCGATCCATTTGCACCCCTAATCGGCAACCACAAGAACCGACCTTTGGCGTTAGACATCAATAAGAGACCAATAGGGTCTAGATTCAGTGGACCCTTTAATTCATGAGGCACGTGAACCCTCCAATAGGAGGGTTGCATGTTGCCTCTTCAGCTCTCCTCTAAGTAATGCTCAATTCGCCATTTTCCTTGTCAGCGCAGTTCAACCGAGAGGTAGAAAAATGAAATCAATTGAAAGGAAGAAAGCCAAGCTTTCCCCCTTCATTTGAACTCCCTATCTCCCCCATTTTCACCTGAGCCCTAACTCAAGAACATAAGACCACCAGTGGCATCCGCATTGTTTCACCGAGCTCCGACGGCTTGCTCTTAGCCGATGACAAGGAAATAACCTCTGGTAAGCTTCTTCCCCTTCTCCTTTTCTTGGAAACCTCATCTCAAATATTATATTCTTCCTCTATAGACCATCGGCGGCAACCTCATTGTTCCACCAAACTCCCTCGGATCATCACAATATGCCAAGCACAATATGCCATCATCATTGTTCCACCGAAATACTTATGCAACCACCCAGAAATAACACTTCTAAACACTGCATATATGCAAAAGCCAAGCACAATATGCCATCATCACTAATGCAACACCTAGACAGCCCCAAGTCTACCAAACATGGGCAGCACTCTGATATCATATTCAAGCTTTAAGTCGCTTAATCTTTCGCACCCGTCTAACATCAAACGTCGAAGCTCCTCTCCAACTATGCTAGCTATGGCGTAGACACTCAAATCCGTAATACTAGAAGACCCACTCATATCCACGCTCACCAAGCTCTATACTATGTTTGTGTTGAGCGTCTAGATGAGATTAATGACCCCTTGGTCTGTGATCAACTTTAGTCCCACAAGGGTGAGATGTTTAACCTGAATGCATGCACACCCTATCCATGCCAAGAATAAGTCTCCAATCCTGTGGCATTTCTTCAACGCTAAAGAATGCAAACAAGGATATTTTGGAAGCCAAGTTGTTTGTGAGTTTGAAATGTCATCTGCTATTCCCCAACATCTTACCAATGATAATGTCTTCAATGTTGCACTACAATTTATGAACACTTGAACTAAACCATTCCAAGTAATAGAACGACATTCCTCCAGTACCGAACTCTCGAGCAACGAAGTCAACTTGCTCAACTCTTTCAGACCCTCGTTGGTTAAACTGTTGCACTTTCGAACTGATATCTACGTCAACCTGCTAATCATAAACCCATCATCACCAATTTCCATGGAGCTTGCTTTGTTTAATAAACTGGAACAAGGTGTCAAAGAAAGGACATTCAAATTCTTATGCATTCCAACCAAGCCAAATCCCACCACTTGAGTGATGCCTGAAATATTGTCAAGAATAATGCAACTTAGGGGGAAAGTTTGGGTTTCTTTCTTTCGATTGATTTCATTTTTTTACCGCTCGGTTGAACTACACTGACAAGGAAAACGACAAATTGAATAGAGGAGAGCTAAAGAGGCAACGTGAAACCCTCCTATTGAAGGGTTCGTGTGCCCCGTGAACTGAAGGGTCCACCGAATTTGGACTCAGACCAGCAGATTGACAATAAACTTTTGGGAAAATTCCTGATAGGTACCCTATACTTTAGGCCGAGTGCCAATTTAGTACCCGAACTTTAAAATGCGACAATCTAGTACCTACCATTAATGGACCGTCAGTTATGTATATCACACGACCTCATATGCGATTTAAGACTTTAAAAATATAAAAAATACCCTTGAACAATGTTAATAATCTTCTTTCTCAAGAAAATGAAACAGAGCCCAAACACACTGTTCATCATCTTCTTTCTCAAGAAAATGAAGATCAGGTTCTGAGAACCCAAATCTCTTGATGGAGGTGAAGCCTCCATCATCRCCAGCCAGATGTTCTTTGCCACACCAAAGAATGCTTGCAGCAATGGCTCCGCCTCGCTCATGGAATATCCAAATCCAAATCCTGCCAGAACGAAAAACAAATAAAAAAACATTCCACCACCGAACGGAAGCCTCCGCACCTCTCATCTTGTTTACTAACTAAGAAAGAAAGTGCCACCATCACAGATTACAGAGAGACCAGAGAAATGGTGATGATTCAATCATCCATGGTGATGGGGTTTCGCATCACCACAACCGGCAGTTGTTGCTCCGCTGGCAGCATAGCAAGTGATTATTTCTGTAATTTTTATTCGTTTATGCTCAATGAATAAATGAAAGAAGAATTTTGGAGCAGCGGTGATCCAATGAAACAATCTAGGATTAGGTATAAAATATCGTGCGAGGTCAAGGAGATTCACATTGCATTGACTCTAGATGGTGGTTTTCTTTCGGCAAAACCCACATGAACATGGGATGTGACTGGGTGCGAGCGCGATGATTAATGCCATCTCCAAAATCCAAATGAATTAAGGTTGATAAGGATTTATGATCTTCACTGAACACGATTGGTACCGTTTCATACTTGCAAAATCAACGACATAAATGTCTGAAGTGATGGTAGTTGGGTTGCATTGCTAATTCATTGCTTGGGTGTTCATATGGCGCATCTCTCTATAATGTTCATTTCTGCATTTGTACATCAACTCATAAATTTAATATAACATCATTCCGGTTTTCATTTGGTTGCCAACTTGCTGCGGAGACTGAAGAGGACAATGCGTGATTAATTGTTGATTGTTGGCAAAAGAGCCTTCAAATCTTTACAGGTCACAGGTTGACTTAAGGAAATCCGCTTATTAAGAATATCTCCTTCATTCCTGGGAAAATGTTCTCAAAATGCACGGCTGCGATGTACTTTTGGGGTTGGTGTGAAGCGCGGCCTGTGAGAAACAAATATAGTTTCTGAGTCAGGGTAGAGGAGCCTAATCCATGAACACAAAACACAAGGATGAATCCATGCAAACGGAAAATCCCAAAACCCTTCGAATAAATTTCCCAATAAAAAATAAATATACAGAGGGATGTCCAACTACTCTTTACAGTGTCTGTACTTGAATCCACTTTAATGAGCAGCAGAAAATAAATTTTGGGTTGTATAAGCAATTGTCTTAGCATTGACACACCCTTATATCAGATAACCCCATCCTCCCTGATGGCATACTTATCACTCTTTAACTCTTCTGATGATTTCATGATGATTGAATAGGATTTTTTTATAAAATATTCAATTGCAGGAATCATGGTTTTTAAAACCAACCCGGTGATCGAACCAATCAGGGGTCCAATTTTGGGAAAAATAGAACCGATCAGATGATCAGTTCCTAGTTTTTCCAATCTGATCATTCGGTCCAGTCCGGTCCAGTTTTATAAACCATAGCAAGAATTGATCACAAAACACAACGATGTTCATTGTTATCAATTCGGTTAGGCTGATTATTCTATTCTCTCTCTCTTTGCACTCAATTTAGGAAAAGATGAGGAAGTCGACCTTAGCTCCTTCACTATCTTTCCTCTTCTTTTTCATGGTACCCCTACTACTGAAAACAACAGTAGGAAACCCAAGGAGCAAAATAGTGAAAATCTTTTGCGGGCATCAAAAAGAGCATATCACCGCCTTTGTCCCTAACTTCATCGCCACCATGGAGAACATCAATGACCAAATGCGCACTACTGGTTTCGGAACCTCAATCGTGGGGCTCAGAACCTGACGCTAACTTCGGCCTTGCCTGATGCTATGGGGACCTCTCCGCTCGACTGTGTATTATGCTACACTGAGGCTCTTATCATCCTTCCCCAGTGTTTCCCCTACAACGGGGGCCACATCTTCTTGGACGGTTGCTTTATGCCGGAGGATACRTTAATGGAAGAATGGCTCATAATTGTGGAAGGTTCGGGGTTTACACAGTGTAGCAAGGTGGTTGGGAGTTTACACTTGAAGGGCATTTTTATCTTTTTGTATGTCACTTATTAAATTGTCACGTTTCAAAGTTCAGGTACTAAATTGATACTCAGCCAGTACAGGGTACTATTGGAAAATTTCTCTAAACTTTCCTTATTCTTTTCTTCCTCCTCTTCTTCTTCTCTCACTCTCACTCTCACTCGACCTCGCGCTACATGTTGCACTTCTCTCCCCTTCTCGCTCCCTTAAGACCACACACCCCTCTCCACTCTTTAGCCTTAGTCTTTAGAACCCCATGACCACGCCACCATGCCTGAACCATCAACACAGCTCCTCCTCTTCTCCTTTTCTCTCTCCATCTTCTTCTTCACCTTCATTGTTGCTGCTGCCTCCCAGCAATTGAATCCCTGGAATTCTACAATTCTTGAATGCCCTTCCATCTCCAACAACAATGTCTATTACAACAACAACACCATGTCGCAATAGTAAATATTGTGAACATATACAAACCAAATCTCGTAGGGAGAAACTGAAAACATGGTATAGGAGTTTAGTCTACTTAGACAGGGGTTAGGGCTTGGGGAGATTACTTTTGTTCCAAGAATGCTGGCCGACAGTGTGAGCTGCTAAGGCCCTAAGGGTTGTCCAATCTGTTGAAAATAGAAAAGCAAAAATAAGATTAGCACGGGAAGAAGAAGAAGAAGGACTAAGAACAATAATACCTACCGGAATGCTCGCCACCATTCCACTGTCACGAACACTGATGTGTGAAGAATGGCCGGTGGGATGCTTGGGTTAGGGCTCGGAGAAGAAGAGATCTCGAAATGGAGAGGGAGTTTGAATGTCATTTGGAAGGAATTCATTTTGGGTTTAGTCCTTTGGTGGGTGGTTCAGTCGGTTTGTTCAGCTAACGGCTGAACAAAACCCATGCATCTTACAGGTTCCCACTAGTTTGATCATAAAAGCTCTAAGGGGGTGTTTTTATTTTTGAATTTTGAAAGGGGGAAATCCCATTGACGGGTGGGGATTAGGAAAATTTTCCTAGGTATCACTTACCCAAGGGATAAATAACTTTCCACATAGGGAGAAAGTTGTTAATACTTGAATGAGACAAAAAGTCCCTTTTAATAATGGATTTCTATAACTAAAATGGCCATTGCCTTATTTACTTGGAAAATAAAAGAACGTGGATAAATGCACTTACTCGTGTAAGTTTTTCCTTGCATTTATATGGGTAAGTAATCAGGGTTTGGAAATGGATGAAGCAATCAAGGTTTTTTGTGAAATGGGTTTATATGCTTGTTAACTGAATGCATATATGTATAGTTATATTGCCAAGGGTTTGTGTGAGAAGGGGAGAGTAAGCCAGGGTTTGGGGTTTTATAAAGAAATGAGGGGTAAAGGTCTTGTGCCGACTAGTAGTACTTAAATAATTTTGATCTGTAGCCTCTCAATGGAACGGACTCACTGAGGTTTCAAGATGAAATTGATGTTTTGTTTGATRTATTGAATAATTCAATGGTTCCTGACCTTTTAACTTACAAGACTCTCTTTGAAGATTTGTGTAGGGAGGGCAGGGGAAATGAGGCCTTTCAGCTTCTTGAAGAACTGAGGAAGAAGGAGGGATCCATGGAGGAGAAGACCTACAAGACTTTGTTGGATGGATTGCATTTCTCATGTTGGGAATAGATGTCAATCTGTGGTGAAGATCTTCTTTTTCTTATGTACATAAGGAGATATTTGGATATTAAAGAGAAGACCAGATGTTGCGGAGCTCAGGTGTAAAACATGTAATTGGAGGTCTGAGAATCATATCACAAGCTCTTTATTCTGTAATTGGTCTTCGTCCTCTATATTCGTTCATTTTCATAAGTTTATTTCAGCGCTTGGGTTTACAACATGTAACATGGAGAGACTAATAGTTTAAGTTACTGATCATCACTTTTTGTCATAGTCTTGATTCTCGAAATTTTCAAGCATCTCAACCCAAGGCATATTTCTGTAGGATTAATTTACACATTGATCAATTTAGCTTGGGATTGAAATGAGGCTTCGCAAGATTGCTTGCTATGCAATTGATCCAGTTTTTTTGGCTTTGTAATCATTCTGCAGATGGTTGTGATAATTTGTTGCTAATAATTTAGCAAAACTGAGTAGCCGATCCCCATTTAATTGGGATAAGGCATGGATGAATCTGATCTGTGAAGAATGAATGAATTTAGCAAAACTGATCTGTGAAGAATGAATCAATATTTATGCCCCTGAAGCTATATGAAACTATCAACTAGGTGAGGAAAGCCTTTGATCAGATTTTGTTTTCTGTTAGACTTGGAAGTTTCTCACCGTTGGAAGCTTAATGGATAGCCATTAGTTAATTATCCTGTTTTCTGGATGTTCAATAAATGATGCGGCTCAAGGTGGAAACAGTGGCACCTGGGTGTTTCGAGATTCTATAACCAACAATAAGGGAGAAGTACCACAATATTGGATACTTGCTTGAAGTTCCATTTCCTTGCTTAATGACCAAAAGTCACCTTCTTTTAGATGGAAATGCAGATATGACAACAACATTTATTGTCTTCRGTAAGTTTATGTTTGATTGAGGTTTTAGTTGTTGATGAACTGGCTAAATTTCTATGGTCAAAGTTAGATTTGCACAAACCAGATTGGTTTTAAAATTTTACATTGTTCATCCAAGGAGTGCTACAAGAGTGTAATGAAATTGCAATGACATGTGCCAGACTAGGCAACTCAAGTTTTGAGCATGTTAATGTGACAGTGGTATGGTTTCTGGGCCTAATTTGTTGCTTGAAGCTGAGTTTGGACAGGGCTGGTGCTGACTTCACTCCAGGACATCTCTAAGAAGGGAATTACCCTTCAAAAGTGGCAACATGTCCTAACTCCTAATTCACAGTATTTAGTGAATCGATGTGTTACAAAAACCAATATATATATTAATAGATCCTTGACTCGAGCCCGGATCTCCTACAAGCAAAAATTTTCTTCACATAGCATCCAGCTGCACATTGAGAATATCTCCCCTACATTCATATTCAATTCATGGGGAGATGTTCCCAATGTATAGTGGGATTCCCATGATTTCACCATGTGTATAGAGTTTTTGGTTGCAGAGAATCTCGTTGCCCGCCTTTAACTATTCACCCCTTAAATTTTATTGCATTGATAGTTTTGGTACAACCTGCTTTTAGAGAATTTCTTTTCAACTGATATTTCTCCAATGAGCAAAAGTGCAGATTTAATCAGATTAATTGTTCTATATGACAGGACTTGCAAGAGGAGACAGCATATACAGGAAAGAATTCAATGAAATTGGATTTCTTACACCAAAATCTAAATAACAATTAAAATAGGTCTGAAGGAGAGATTCCCTTGCCTTCTCTCTCACTTTTGTTGCATTTACAAGGGCATGAGTCTTCTGTACTTGAAAAACCACAAAAATGAACAGAATATAATAACCCCACATATTCCTGTGATTATAAGAACCCACTTGAATGCTTCTGGTTCGTTAAACAATGATATTGAGAAGTTCATCCCAAAGACCCCAGCCACCACTCCGAAGATTGCAACAACAAATGTTGCAGTACTAAGCAGCAGTTCAAATTGGATTAGTTGATTGCGGACATTGTCCTGTCACAACAAAAACAAATCCCTTTTATCCCATAACATTTGAGAGCACCCTCACCCAGCCTTCCACCAAAATTTACTTGCATTTACATTGAGGAAATTCAAGAAAGCTTCACTTTACAAAACTAAGAATGACAAATCTGAATAGCAATTTCACATGCCACCCAAGCATGGTGTCAATGGGTCCCAGCCAAATCTTCTATACAAAACGTATGGGGGATGCATGTGATCATCAATGTGTGCTTGCTTTGATGCAAATGAATGTCAAGAATTTTCATCTATAATCACTTTCAGGTCAATCTTACGGTAAATCTCCAAACCTCAACTGTAATCCTTTTGGATTCTAAGTCTGCTCTCCTACAAGGGTTCAAATTACAATTTGTAGTCCAAACCATTTACTGATCATTTCATTAGCTTCCCCAGCCTTTTCCAGGTTAGAATTGACAACGTAGTTGACTCTCACATCTGGGCTGAATATTTTAGAGCAAAAACTTGGTTCCACTGAAATTGAACCCAAACTTGCAACCCATATTCACCTTCATGTTTTACAAGTGCTGCACTGCTGGACCATGGTGCACTAGCACAGCTCCGGATACTTCTAATATGATGATGATGATGATGATGATGATGATGATGATGATGATGCCCGTGCTCTTGCCTAAAGAATATGTACTGGGTCTTGGTATTCCTAGACAAGGTTCCATGTAGGGTTGCCAATAGGTTAGGCCTGGATGGGCTTAGATCAACTCAAACTGATTTGAAGACACTCCAACCAACCTGATGCAATAGGATTACCCAACCCAACCTGTTCTGTGAACGGATTCCAAAGGTTAAATTTACAATTTTTTGAATGTCCATATGTCAATAGGTCAGGTTTGGTATGGGTCATCCTCAACCAGGAACTGACCTGCAGCCTGATTAAGATTGACCCAATCCAATGCCATGACCCAGACATCCCTAGTTCAATGAGAAGAGATACCCAAATTAGGGGGTGTTCTCCAACCTGAGTTTTTTCCTGTTTTATTCCAAAAAAAAAAAAAAAGGTTCCACACTCATTTTGATAAAGCATTGATTCTTAGGCTGTGTTTGATAAAGCACTAATACAAATGCATGGGAGCGCAAATGTAAAAAATGCAAATTCTTGTTTAATTTTGTTTTGGATTTTACTTTATTCTGCTTCGTCTTAATTTACTTCATTTGTACTGCTATCAAACAAAATAAGATAAAACTTAAAACAAAAATAGGTCAGAATTTACACTCAAATCATTTGCACTGCCATGGTTTTGCATCAGTGCTAATTTATTTGCATTGCAACCAAACACAGCCTTAGGTTCAGTTTGGAAGGAGTACAAATACAAATATGTAGAGTGCAAAACCTTACATTTTGTACTACTTTGTATGTATTTGTACTGTACAAAAAACACATTTTTTTGTGTGGTGTATTTCATAATTTCTTGTTTCCAAAACTAAAACAAGCAACACGTTCTTGAATTTTGGTTTCAGAAACATGTTTTCCCATGGTGGTTTGAGGTCATGATTCATAAAGCAAGCAGTATTTGCACAGATTCCAATCAAATGGACATTATCTCACCTTCCTTAGTTTTAACATTTATTTATGATCTTCTAAATGTAGGTTGGGATAATACATGGATGCTTTAAGCCAATACTTGGAAGAGGGTGTATCTTGGTGTATACCTGTAGCTTATATCAGCCTTAATGCATTATGGAAGTAAAAACAATTTTTTTTTTTTTTTTTTCATATCAACTTTTTATTGGTATTAGAAATAAGGTCATTTTCTGAATCAAACTGAAAACTTTAGCTTTGTTTAGGAAAAACATACAGCCAAGAAAGCATTTTTTTGTTGCTATAATATTTCTTGGAAACAAGTAAAAGGAAAATCATTCATGTTGAAGAACACCCCCTTAATATTTACTTATTTTTATAGGCTGGCATGCCAGACATATACACCTGCTTGCTTGGTACCATGTCAATTAGCAAGACAAAAACCAGCATGCAAATGGTAGAGGCAATTCCTTGTGCCTATTTCAAAAAAGGCAAGAGAGGAACAAAAAAAGCACCATCTTAATGATGTCGTCAATCACTTTTAAGGGTTTTCTCGATGTTTCTGTAAAGTCAGGAAAATGTATTTACTGCAATTATGGGAAGGAAAGAGGAACAGACCAGCTGAATGTTGATGAAATCTTCCGTGTCTTCAATATACTCCTTCAACTGAGACAATGATAGAAGGATCGTATGACTGAAGTAAATAATTCCATCCACATGTAAGAGGAAATGAGAAGAAAAACAAAGATCCAAATTAGGTGATTTACATACCGATGTTAGTTTATTGAGAGTGCTATCAATCACTACGAAGTATGCCTCTAATAACATCTCCAGCTCTTCTATGTTCTCAGTTGTGCTGTCTGAACTCTTCATGCTATCCTGCCTGCTCCTTCCAACACTCAAGCTTTTCTCAAGTTTCCGACCGTCAGGGGTTGAAACAGGAGAATTTGGGGCAGAAACAGATAACCCACTCCCAGTAGAGCTGTATCCTATAAAAGACTGATCACCATAGAATAAATCCATGCGCCGCTTCTTCTCTGTAAGGTACATTTCAGCCATATCTCCATCATCATCCATTAACTGCTCTATCTCATCCCTGACCTACAAAACAAAGGTACAGAAAGGGTTCATAATTTGCCCAGAACTTTTGAATAAAAGAAATAGAAGAAAATGGATTTTGAAAATACTTTCTGGACTCTTCGAGTTAAAGCTACAAGTCTGCTTTTCAATCGACGAACTCGTTCCAAGTTTAAGGTACTGATCTTTGAAGTTAGTTCATCTAACAATGGATATGCTTCAATTTCTAACTCTGCTGCCTGATTAACAAAAATTGAAAATAGTTCTTCAGTCACTACTCTATAAAGCAAAGTTGTAATTGCCATGAGGCTTAGGAATGAGGATATTAATATATAAATGCATGTAGTTCTTTTATATATGCATAAAATTAGAATAAGCTATTGATATCTGCTCTAACAGTGTGGAAATGATTTGCAAGTCTCTTAATTTAAACATTCCCTACTAAAAACAGAAATATCCTCATTAAGCTGTTTTTCCAAATGTTTAGGAGAGGGAAGTGTATATAGGAAATAACAAAAAGAAGTTGGACTACATTATTTATCATGAAAAGAAAAATAATTTGAAAACTTCAAAAGAATAGTCTTTTAGGAATGGAGATCCTACAGGGAATAAGACAAGTCCAAGAACAACCTAGGTTATGATGAATGCAGCAAGATCTCTAAATGGCAATAGTCAATGCCATGCCTTTGTAACAGTTTGCAAGTGGTCTGTGGCGACAAATCACTTGAAGCAATCATGAATCTTTAGATAATGAAAACTCTCATTCCTCGAGTCAATGTATCATAACACAAGAAAGTAAACAGCATGAAATATGAAATGTAAACAATAATCTGAAAATTTTCAATGGACAAAAGAAAAGTTATGGCTAAAAGGCCAAAGGATACAAAAACAAATAGAATAAAGACTGAAAGAGGACAATACGGCAATATGTCAGCCCTAGAATATTTATCCTAATACAAATAATCCCTCTCAACCCCTCCGTAGCAAAATCATCAGCCACTGAGTTAGGAAACTGAAGGATCCACTTGAACAAGCTGTTCACTCTGGAATGATGGGCTTCATTTCCTCTTACTTGATGATGCAATACCTAAGGATTGTCAAAAATGTCCTGTATCCATCCAGTAACAGCTTTGAAGCACCCACAAAAAAAAAATTCCTTGCAATTTTCTGATTTTCTCAAAGTTTGGACCCTCTTCCCAATCAGTTTCTTTTTCCTTCCCCCCCCCCCTTTTTTTTTGATAAGAAAGCAAATGAACCATAAGCAATTGATCTTATATAACCATACAACCCTATATCTGTAAGAAAAAGAGAAGGTATTGCATATTACTGAGTTAACTAGCTCACTTAGCATTTCCAACTTTACACTTCAAACACAATAAAAAATGAAGACACCTCAAAATAATCACTGTCCCTGGTCCACACTCCAACCTTGATGATCCAACTTATCTCTCAAATTTATCTCTAAAAGTATTATCCCTGTAACTCCTTCCTACCCACTGCTTCAACCCACCTATACATTCATTTGAGGGATTAAGGAACTGCAATATCACAAAAACGACTATCCCTAATTCCATCCTCAAACAACCTTTCCAGCCACAAGATCCTGCAGCTTTTCTATTCAATCATGTCACTCTCTAGCATCCTTACTAATAAAACTCAGGGCAGTGATGTCTCGTTATTACTTTGTTTTTTTTTTTCTTTTTACATATGCAAGATGCACACAAAGAGAGGTCACTGAGACAATAATACCAACCTAACCCTCCACCCCCAGCCCCCAAAAGAAATAAAGGGGAAAAGGAAGATGGTTTGAAACCTAAAATATAGAATAAACCCTTGAGAAATCAAACTGAAGGTACACAAGGATGGAAGTACTGTTAGCAACAATAATTTTTTATATGTGGAAGCTGGAAACTTTTACTTTCTACACCTTAACATGCACTCACCCTTGTTCCAGATTAGTCCTAATCAGTAATCACACCTTTCACGATTTAAAGCCATGAAGCAGTACCAAGAAATATGCCTCTTGACTTATATTCAAATCCATTCCCTAGGGCTTTCAAATAACCTATAAATTATTTTATGTCACCTTCAAATCTTCATGCAGCTTAGTTTATTTTTGCTCTTTCAAGAGATAGCTTACAAAGTTTTCATGGAACTTGTATTGGATAAGGAGCACAAATTCAATTGTGACACTGAAAAAAGATTCTAGCATTTACCCATTAACCCCAGTTTCTCAATGAGATAACATGGGAAAGAAAGTCTCACAGGTCTCCTCTTCTTTTGTCCCTTCTTTGTCCTTTATGTTTGTGTGCATGCATGCATGGGATGGGGGAATGTCTGACAATTGTTTATAGAAAGAGAGTGAGCAAGGAAATATTTATGAAAGTATATATATCCAATAGAATCATCCTGGCTCCTGAGTAATACTCAAAGTGCAATACCCCCATCCCAGAAAGAAAAATAAAAGAAAAAAGGAACTTTTTGTAAATACAAATATCGCATTCCTATGGTTTAATTCCAGAATCCTTAGCTTCTTCTAGTTAGAATACAGAGACATTGAAACTTCAATAATATGATAAACAATATATGTGCAGGTAATAACATATTCTCAAACATAGGGCAGTTATGCTTGTTCCATATATGCATTGTAGCCTCTGAGCTTCAGTTGGATTGGTACATTTAAACCAACAAAGCTTTCACAACTAATTAAGATTCTTGGACCTAGAAGTTGCTATGTTACTTCATAAATAGACCAATAATAATATTGTTCTCCACATGATAAATGTATAATTACCATGAATTAGTTTTCTTCCTTTATTTCTTCATTTTTTCCCTTTTTGCTCTTTTGTAAGACTGATAGAGAGCAGTTAAGGATTCACCATTGACCCAACCCTTCTTGCTCAAAAAGGTAACCCTTTGCACAATCCAAATTATATGAGAAAGACATGACATGCTGTTCAAGAAACAATATCATTTTTATATCATTTGGGCTGAGGAACCTCAATTATTTCCATGCAATAATTACCAAAATTCATAGGAATGGATATGGTGGAGTTGTATGAATTGCGTTCTATTCCAGTATATGAATAAAAGTCAAATTTGGTTGACCAAATGTTCTAGACTACCAAGAAAAATAAAAATAAAAAAATGGAGCACAATAATGTTGTTTCCTTCCAGGATTGAATCATCCTTGAGTATTGCTTTATTGTCGCTGACCAGTTGAATAGGCAACTCTTACTGTAAATGTAATCCCTCATCAATTGGCATTTACGAATACTTAATTTCTGTCCACACCACTATCCTCCAATAATGTGGTGTTCACCTCAATCTTGAAATCAGACTGAACTGGTCGTTCAGTTAATTGTTTTCATTTCACTTTACCAAGCATCGTAACTTCATTCAATAAAATGGAAACATATAATGTAATTCAAAGGCCCCCAATTCAAGATACCTGAAAAGATCGAGGAGCTTTAAGATGCGGAAATTCAAGAAAAACCTTTTCACCACCGAAGACCTTCTTTAGACTAGCATAATTTAATCTTTTATTCAGAAAAAAAGCGGCCACTAAAGGCATGAACCAATTCAAATAGAAAAATATTATCACAAATGTATTAATGGAGTCGGGCACTAGAATTCAGATTACTTCTCTTCGCACCTGAGTATCGAGAAACGCACATGCAGACTCTAGAGCAACTTCGAGCGCCCTAAATTCGAAGGGCAAATAATCTGGCGACGTATTCTCGAACACATCCCTGCTCTGTTGTGAATTAGGACCATCCGACTGCCAGGCCTCCCCGTCCCCAGCCTGAGTCAATCGCCGCTGCAGCTCCACAACGTACTGCAAAACATAACTATCAAGCGAATTCAATAGTAACACCTCATCGGCGTTGATTATACACCGAATCTGTTCTAGATTCACGACAATCGCCTTCTCTCTTCCGAGAATGGTAGACGGATAGACGAACAAAGGATCGAGGAGGCGGAGATCCCGGGCAGGGAGATCGCAGCGACGCATCATGGTGAACTTATCAACCTCGATTATCTGAGAGTTCCCAGAGGTGTCGACGCGAATCCATGATCGAATACTTTGCCCGCGCTTCTTCAGCCCTAGGAAGTCCGTGCCTTGGAAAAGCGACCGGCCGGAGGCAGAGGGTCTGAACGACTGTTCTCTAACGTTTACCACCGGCGAGGGTCTTAGCGGGAGAAGGCGTTCTTTGAGGTCCGCCATTAATGGAGAGTTTCACGAGGTCTGCACTGCAACAATACCAGCTCTTAGAGAGAGAGAGAGAGAGAGGGGCTGCAGTTCTCGTCTCTGCGAAGGATCGTAACATTGTTTCTGCTTCTTCTTTATGATTACTGAATGTTGGTCTGCATGAAATAGGAAACCATGTTGTTGAATACGTCATATTATTATGAATCATTGATTGAATCTTGATTTCATTATAAAGGAACATTTATACGTTTTGAACGGTTTAGATGGATTTAGATGTGAAAAACCTCTGATTGTACGCAGAGTGCGATGTAGGATATAGGGACACGTCATGTCATTATCGAAGCGATTTTCAGTTTCCCGGTATGGAATTGTCTACAGTTGTACTCGCAATGCTGGTCAATTACCATTACATCACGTGAGCTCTGTCCACGTGGGTCTTATCTTACAAATCTTAATGATGTTTACGTTGAAAACTTGAAATTGATAGTTAAGGATTAAGGAATATAACCTCGGCCCTGACCGGGCTAGAAAATGATCACCCGATCTAAAAGGAGCCGGACCCAGATCTAGATGGGACCCATCTAAAAACTTCTCCTTCTATACACCCAAAGTTTTTCCAATTATCGAGTGAATAATGGTTCGACCGTATGGGTTGGGTTAATAGATCAATTTATGATGTGATAAATTGAATACTAATAAATACAAAAACATATAAAAAATTATTAAAAAATGTGGAAATTAGATGTATCTAACATTTTATATATTAATTATATTAAAAATAAAAATAAATATGATAAATAATTAATAAAAATAGAGTATCATCATCTTCTCTACCTTGTCCCAATTATATGGGCTGGCTATATGAATCCTATTTCAATTCCATTCTCTTCTATCAGTTCAATTTGTTTTTTTGGTTTCCGATTCTTTTATAAACACCCCTATCGTGTGATTTGTAAAGGGTATACAGAAAACAAATTATCCTTAAAAGATCTATCATATACCATATACCAAGATTATTTTCATCTCCCTTAAAAACTCAATTGGGGATCACTTGAGCAAAATTTTAATCATGAAAAACAAAGGAAAAAAAATTAAGGACATATTAACATTTTCATGTAGGAATAGTGTTTTAAACCTACAGTTCCATTTGTTGATAAGTACCTTCATCCCTGAACTATCTATTTTCCAAAAAAAGAAAAAAAAAATACAAAACAATTCAATGACTTGACTGGTTGAGATATTGAATCGCTTGATCCTGTCAATGGGTCGTGACTTAGACGTTGACCTTTTTTTCTTTTGTATTTTATCCTTTTTTTTCATAAATAATAATAATAATAATTTTTATTCATGGTACTTATATTTATATTAATATAATGAAAACAAGAGACATTCCCAATTTTTTTCTGCAATTTTTCTTTTTTGTAAATCGAGACTTTGACATGTACCAAACAATGAAACTTTCAGTTCTGAAACCAAAAATTGCAGCCTAACAGAACACCAAAGAATCTTGGTGTGTCCTAGAACTTCCTCTCCCCCTAGTTCACATCGAGATCGGGTTTTTTATCTTCACAAAATTGGTCCACACAATACTTGTAGTTGTGCATTGGCAACATTTCTGTACAGGTATGTCTTCACAGATGAAGTATTGTGAGGTTGGTGTGAGGACGAAAGCTGGATTTGTTCACATTATCCCTCTGCCTTAAGCATGATTCAAAGTATTTTCAGGGTCACCAAAATGCTAATTACATAGACTTTAGGAGGTTTTATGGGTTTAAATGTTGGATATGCTCCTAACATATTTATCCTTGAACCTCTGAAACAGAAAAAAACGGAAAAACAAAAGAGTATACATGGTTTTAGATGCTACGAAAACTTCAGTATTGAGAATATTGATACTTTGAACCATAGTTTTAAGTGGTGTAGGTGGATTCAAAGTTCAAAGTATTGACATGTATCAATCTGTATCGGCCAATATGTATCGTTTTGAGAGCTTTCCGATACTTTTCTATAGAGGGTGTATCGGGGTTCTGACTGTTTCAGGGGGTGGAGGAGCCTTAAACCGGCCCCCTGAACCAATTTTGAAAAAAATAAAAAATAAATAAATAAACACTATTGATATCCCTTGATACGCCCCTACCAGCATATTGGACTGATTCCACATCAGAAAAGAAGATTTTTCTGCTTGCCACATGACTGGTGAGTGGCAAGAGAAGCAAATAGACCCTTTTGGGCGGAATTTGAATTTTGTCCTCACAGTCCTGGCAGTAATATATTGGAAATATCTTCTCATGAATATAAACATATAAATAGAATTGGGATCAAAGAGCACACCTCACACCGATCTCACAGCCACACCCCACCCTATATCAAGAACATCTCCCATAAATATTAAATATAAGTATGGGAAATGTTTCCCATGTCTCTGGCTAGGACATATGCACTTTGTGAGGAATAGATCCAGACTCATATAAGTATGGAGATGTTTTCATTGCATGGCTGCAAATGACTGTGATGATGGTGGGAGAACGAAATCCAAATTATTTTATTGAAGAAGACACCAACGTCGAAAACACTACATCAATTGATTTTTTTTAGGGAGAATGATAGTTCAGCCCAGGGTCAGAATTCATAGACCTAAAGTACAATTGGGGTAGGTGTCAGCTCGGAATTGATGCCAATTCATGGACTGGCATTGATGCATAAGGTGGGGATAATTGACCTTTCGAAATGTTGTAAATCTGCCGTGGAAATCAAAATTCTGCAATAGTCCTATCCATACTTCTCCATTATTTTATGCAAATGCGAGTGTTCACTAGGCAGGCGGAGCAGATGTGAACTCCTTTTAGGCCCCCAGCCAACCGTTTTGTCAATTGTAATTTGTAAGATTCTTGGTTTGTTTGGTACTTCAAAACAGCCTGACAAATAGACCCCTTTTCACTTGTACATGAAGATAAAGGATTCCATTTGAAGTTTTTGTTTAAGCAACTATGAAGCTTCAATCCAAAGTTAAGCATGGAGTACAAACTCTACAATGAGGCTGTATTCATCTAAATCAAATTCCAAAGTAGAGGGGAAGAACCAGCTGAGATTTTACACCCAAGAATTAATATTGATCATTAATATTTTCAATGAAATGTTCAACCTAAAAGTATATTTAAGCTTTTAAGTGAGGTCTTTGAATAGTTTTTTATTTTATAAGACACCTCTTAGCACCAAAGCCATTGGACTTGAAGTGTGAACAATCACAGGTCCACTCATACTTTATATTGAAATTTAATTAATTATAATGAAAGTGATAAATATCAAACAATAGATCACTTAATCAAACAGGCTTTAATACCATCTTAAAGAACCGTTCAACTTAAAAACTAAGGCCCCGTTTGGCGTGTCTTTTCGCGCGGTCTTTCGGCTGCTTACAAGCTGGGAAGACCAAAAATTGGTCTATTCCCGTTTGGCATGCGGAAGATCTCGCCACCAAAAGATGGGGCACCGAAAAGACACGGGAAGCCCATTTTGGGCTGATTTCAGGAAGCTCCAAATGAAGTTTCCTACGCCTTCTGTGTTTTAATCTCGCTCAGAAAGATCTGAAATGACGCACAGAAAGATGCACGTCTACCAAACGGTCTTCGGGCTACCCAGATCTTATGTCAAAAGCTCAATGCATCTATTGACTGTCAGAACTACGAGAAGATCTTCTCAAAAAGACTTACCAAACGGACTCTTAAATTTTATCATGAATTCCCTGAATGGATTTTTATTCTCTAACAAATATGCAAGATCAAACGACCACTGCTAAGTACTAGCCCACTTCATGGCCCTAAAGAAAGAGCTTAATGCTTGATAGTTAGCCCCCATCCATCTCTTCATATACCATTTTTTAGGTTTTGTCTATTTGTAATTTCAGAGAGTTTTAGGCCAGCATGCATTCCTAGAATGTAATAGCTTGAAGACTCGTTCTTGGAATCCGAACTAAAACCTTGAGATGGAAAATCCATTGGACTTTTCAGTTCCACAATCCCGATCATGATTAGCTATGAATACAAGGAAGATTCGTGTATTGTTTGATTTAAGGAATACGGCCAACTAGATATGATGCAGCGAGAGATTACCCAGAGATACATCCAAATTTTGATTGATCCATTTTGAAAATTTGGGTAGAAAGATTTTAGCATATTTGCAACTGAATATGCGTATGATATAATATGATATTACTTTCACTCWYTCTTTCTTTTTTTCAAAATTGTTATCTTCACACAAGACGTTTATGATTTTGCACTCTTGCTCCTGTTTTGTTGGGGAGGGTTTGAAATGAAAAACTTGCAATTTTTAAATTGTTCCAACAAATAAACTCCTCTGAATAATTAGCTTGAACTGGATCCATTCATTAAGAAGAAGAAACTACTGCTTTAACCAACACGATGAGATCGGCAATATAGAGAAACCACTGCTTACAGAATAGCAGTATATAAGATTATAAAGTTTTTTACAACTGCCAGCATGACATTTGTAATACAAAGAAATCAAGCTAACTTCAAAAGAAAAACGATGAGTTTCTATGCAACTAGCAGAAGCCTTAGACGCATAAATCCGTTGTGGAATTTGGAAACAGAGAAATTAAGAATGGTTGGAAAAGCAGGAACAATAAAACACATGGTTAGTTGCTGAGTTCTTTTCTTGTGCCCATTAGTTAATGGTCGGTATGTTTCCAAATTTCTGAGACTTTGTTGGGCACTGCTGTTGATGATTTATGGGAGTGGTGTGTATTATGTGATATTAGAGATATATATGCTGCGTTTACTTTAAGAATTTTACCAATCCAAGACAATACGATTGGATCCGATAACATTTAAACATGTATACTTACACATGAAATTTCTATTGTATTTAGTAAATTAAGTTGTATGTTTAATGATTAAAAGATCTCCATAAAAATTAGGGAGAATGACTGTTCAACACACCATCGTACAATTGGGATAGGTGCCAACTCAGAATTGATGCCAATACACCGGCGGATATTAATATTTTAGGGTGAGAATGTTTGTCATTTTAAATTATTTACAATTGATTTTCTTCATAATATAAACTATCAAAGTCATTTTTTGTCCATTTTATTAAATATAATAATTTTATTATCTTTTAAGTTAATTTGTTAATGGTATTGAATTCCCAAATTCAACCTAATCAAATTTAGATCTGGTTATATCCAATTCGCTCCAATCAGTTGGCAGCCCTAGCCTGTCTTGAACTTTTATAGCATTGAAAGGAGTGAAATGTTAATCAACAGAAACTCTCAGGAATCCTTTATTGGTAATTTCTTGCTGAGCCCTGAGGGTGATATTCCTTGGCAACATCTTGCGATATTGCATGATAGATCTCACCACCTAAAACAAAATACTGATACATAAACACATGAGAGCACATTCCCAGGTTAAAGTAACTTGATTAACTAACTTGAATATACCGCTACAGATGGGCAATTTACCTGTTACCTCCAAAGCCAAGATAATGAGGTCATTGGGGGAAAAAACGCAGTTTAGCAACAAGGTGAAAGATCAGTGATATAATAGCCACACAACTTCAAGATAAAAGAAAATCACAAGACCAAGTTCTCATTTGAGGAGAGTCTTCACAATGGATTTGACATTGAGCTTCTTGAGGTCTGTGTAGGACTGACCACAGCCAACAAACATCACTGGTGCCCCAGAGATGTAAACCATGGAAAGTGCAGCTCCAACCTGTGCCATACAATTCCAGATGTATTATAATATGAGCAATATACGAATACATAACCACAATCATATATCCCAAAAACAACTGGTGTCTACCTTGTCATCGATGGTGTCAAACTTTGTGAGCAGGATTCCATCAATTAACATTGCATTAGGCGAGGTTGAGAGGTCTGCCAGTTTCTGCATTTGAAAAGGTACAATTTGCTTAAGAAATCATTAATTACCCAAGAGATGTGTGTGTGTATATATATATATATATATATATATAGAGAGAGAGAGAGAGAGAGAGAGAGAGAGTATCAGATAGCCAACCTGATTAAATTTTGATAATTGATCAACGGCATCATTCCCAACCAATGCTTCTCCAACAAAGAGGACCAAATCTGGATTGTTGAGGTAGATGAGCTTGGATAGTGCTCTCATCAAGGGTTCATTATCCTGAAAGACAAACATTGCATATTTTAATATTTATTATACAATTAATTATGCAATAAAAATGATTTTCAATTGACAGAACAAATGGAACTCTAGATGTAACTAACTGAACCAGTTACATATTTCATGAGACTTTGCTTTAGGGTAGTCATATTAGCATTGCTGCAGGGATGTTTTGTGTTTAATGTAAGAATAGGATTTTCAAATACTGGAAGTGGAGGGAGACTCCTATATGGTTATCAGCTGGATGAAAGAGGAGGGACCTTGGTAGAGCAACATCACATCAGAGAAATCAGAGGTCTTGCTTCTAGGGTTAAGTATTTTTTTAATACATCTTTAGCAATGGCATGGTTATCTAGGAAGGTGTCAGGATGTATCCATTGATTAGGCCATGTTTTGTATCTCTTTTCCTTGTATTCTTACTGATGGATTGATAAAGTTGCTCCATACTAATAAAAAAGAATATGATGTATTCGCTGAGCTTTTACAAGAGAAAATGAACAAGTGCAGAACCCCCWATCATAATGACAAAAAAATGAACAGACATAAACGCCAGGGCAGAACATCCAATCTGCATTCAAGGACAATGTCAACTTCGTAACATTTTCACCAAAAATTGACCCCAGATACCAGTAGATGTTCCAAGTACAAAAAACAGTATAAATGCATTTTATGCTTTTTTTTATATTCTATTTTTTGTCTGAGGGATTATATAGCATATGTGGATTGATTATATAGTTAGGATCATTTCAACAGGCTAATTTCTCATCATTGAGAACACTTAGCAGACTACTCGTAATCATTCAATGGATTCTCCATCTTCTAGCTGCATAAGCATGTGCATCACATGTATGGTTGTAGCATTATATGCTGCAGCTTTTGGTATAAATGACAACTTATAATCTTCAATCATGAATTAAGATAATTTCTCAATAACATACCTGCATCCGCCCAGCTGTATCAACAAGAACCACATCTGAACCATTACGGGTAGCCTCTTGGATGGCTTCCTTAGCTACAATGGCAGGATCTTTCTCATAGCCCTTCTCGAATATAGGAATCTGAAAAAATGCAATTTGCATCAGACATATCATTTACTAGTTCTGGAACTGCAATAATATGACTTCCAAAGAAGACCTAAAACCATGAAAATAGATTGTATGACCCTGCCATACCTGAAGCCTACGGGCATGCGTACGAAGCTGCTCAACAGCTCCAGAACGAAATGTATCACAAGCTGCCATCATAACTTTGATCTTATGCTGCAGGAGCCAGTAGGCAACCTGCATTTGAGAAGCTAATTAGTCTACTTAGCATGAACAAAGACTCCAAATTACTAGAACATATGGATTTGGAGTCTACTTTTCTAAAGTTTAATCTAGAGAGGGTACAGCATCATGAAAACCTTAGCAAGGTTGGTGGATTTCCCAACTCCATTGACGCCAACAAAAACAATGACATATGGTTTTCCATGCTCCTTTACCGCATGAACATCCCTCAATATGTCAATAGAACGTTTAGGAGTCAAGATACGAACCAACGCCTCTTCCATTGCTGTCTGCAGCCATCAAAGCATATTAGATTAGTAAGCCCTTCCAACTAAAAAAATTGGAAATATAAATACACTAAAGAAAAGTACACAACTTCATTACTCTACACAAGAATTTAGCTCACATACCTGAACAGTTGAAGATATCCTTGTAAAAGATGCCTGCTTTTTACCTTCAAGACTAGCTGCTACTGATTCACAAAGCTTCTCAGCTATTTCTTCAGCCTGTGAATATCACAGTCAGGAACATCCATGAGAGGGCTAGGTAGATTGTAAGTGGAAGTTAACTAATATATTGGACAGATCAACCTACCACATTCTTGGTCATAAGCCTATCCTTGAGAGCTTTCAAGGCTGGTTCCAAATCTGATTTCTCTAAATTTGCCTTTCCTGCAATACTGATGTTTGGAAAATTGCAAGGAACTTCAATGTGAGTAGGAAATCAAGAGTTCCGATTAATGATAAATTATACAGTTGAATAGCAAAAGGCCTAAAAATGAAGAAATAAAAAAAAAATCTAAATACCATTGCTCTTAAATTTAGAGAAACCAGAGGAAGAATTGGAATTTCCACCCTAAATACGAAACCCCATTGCTCTTGGATTTAGATAAGGGAAGAAGTAGCATTTTTTTATCAATAACACAACTTTCCATAGGGATAAGATACAAAAGAGAGGAGCTAAACTTTCTTAACTCCCTTGGCAAAACTAAATATAAACAAAAAAAAAAAGAACAAAATAGAGAACTAATTCTTAATTGAATTTATTTGAATCGTATAAATCATAAGATTTATGAATCAAATCATAGGATTCAAACAAAAATCATAAGATTTATGAATCAAATCATAGGATTCAAACAAAAATCATAAGATTTATGAATCAAATCATAGGATTCAAACAAAAATTGTAAGATTTTTGCAGGAAAGGATTCAGACATAAGATTCGAAACAAAACCCTTGGGATTCATGATTCAAGTCGTGAATTGTATTGTAAATCATAAGATATTGACAACATTGCTTTGAGGTGCTTTTTTGCTTTCCAAAAGGTTTACTGGAGTTGCCTYGGAACTGAAACCTAGCTGGTTTATCTAAAAAAGTAAAAGTTATTTGGGGAGTAAGTAATTTCACCAGCAGTTCTGTGGACAACCTGGACAGAGAGAAACAGGAGACTTTTCAAAAAACAAGTTCAATACGACAGACAGTATTAAAAGGTTTTTGGGGAAGAATCTTCTCTTGGGTGGCTTCACACGGATTATTCAAGAATACTCCTTACAGCTCTTTTTTTCTTATTTTTTACAGCAGCAACCTTTTTTGTATCTAGCTGACTAGAAGGTTATGGGATGTATAAAGCTTTTATTTTTTCCTGCTCAGTGCCTTATTGTGCAGGTCTTTGTAATTATGGTTTTCTTCTTTTAATGAAACTTTACCTTTTCTCATAAAACAAACAAAAAGAATGGAGAAGTGAAATAAAACTACTCTCACTCTAACAACTCTTAAGTCCCTACTTTGTTTCTCTCTCTCTCTCTCTCTCTCTCTCTCTTTGATGAATCTGTTTTTCTCTCTCTTTTTTTGTTTTCCTCTCTCTAAAAAATATTTTTTTCTTTCAAGTGTGCCAAAAACATGGATTTGCATTTACATCATGGAATGGTATTTCTCATGTCAAGGGGATAAAATGAAAAAAGAAAAGAACAACAGGAAAGAAACCAGCTGCTATGATACCCAGATACCTGTACAAGGGCAATGTATCATGTCGGGTATGTTAGTGTAAATTTCACATTGGACACCTTGTCCAGCCGTGGTTTTGTCATGCCTGGGTAAAATAGGCCAGGCTAATGGTCAAAACTTAACCACAGCAATGAGCTTATAGGCAAAAAAGTGTGATAAGAGAAGGAATAGTGCATATAACCATTAAGGCTTTTTCCCTTCTTTCCTTACCCCTGCTACCTAAATCACCAGTTTGCTACATATGGAAATAATCCAGCTTAATCACTCCACAGAGATAAGCTTATTGCACCTCTGCTTCATGAATCTAGTTGTCTTCCTCTGTATTAGAGAAAGATAGCAGTTTCCATAATTTTAGGTTTCTCCTTCAATTATTGTGAGAGGATGTACAAAGCCCTCAGTTTTGGGCATTAGATAATGGTTACATATTAAGGATTTTACACTTGTACCGCCCCTATGTTTTCAAATTTGTATTTGCCCAATACTATAACTTTATTTCCATATGTACCCCTAACAATGAATAAGCATTACAATTTGTTAGTTTTGGATCTAAATGCCAACCTGCCTTTACATTTAGCCATTAACAACCATAGTGGAAAGTGGAAACCTTTCTCTTCTTTTTATCTTCTTTACTCACATTTTTTTTGCAACCAAATGTAGTGTTACTGTGTTGGGGGAATAAGGCAGCAAGAGGAAAGTGGAGGGAGAGGGGAGTGGTATTGCTTGCCATTCTAATTTGCATTTCCAACAAGTATAATGATGGCTCTACTTCTCTTTCTATAGATGATGCTGAATTCTACTTTTCCTTCTTTTTTTTAATTTTCGAATAGGATCTGAGATAGGAAATGGCTTCATTACATATATATCTCATTTCTTGTGTACCTTCTTTCTGTCAAAGCTATTTCCCAATTAGATAAGGTGATTTTCATGTTAAGATCTTTTGTGCTGTTTGTATTGTCTCTATACATAGGTTAGGATATAAGAGAAATTATCTTTTCTTCATAATTTATACTATTACGTGGTTACTGATCAAAAAAATAGTTAAGATCTAGATCAGTTGTTTCTCATTGGTAGTCTGTTACTGTGTATTAGTTTCCTTGTTCTTTCTTTCTTCCTTCTTTTTTTAAGAAAAGGTAAGGTAAATTTCATTAAAAGCAAAAGGTATGGACTTCCATACAACGAGGTTCTTACATGTATATCCATTTAGGGCCCTACAAAAAATTCCACCCACAAAAAAAGAAGCAGAAAATTTCCTAAGATCTTCAATCACTTAATCACCCTTTTTTTCAGATGCTGATTTCTCTGCTGTTCCTCTCATGCCAAGTAGCCCACAGCACTGCTGGTGGGATGGCTGACCAACAGCACTTGCCTTTCTTGGACATACCCAAAACCTGCCACTCTTCAAAAAGTGCTTTTACTGAGCTCAGGAAGCACCAATTTGGATAAAAAGCTTTAAGGAAATGATGCCAAGCAGTTGCACTGAAGTTGCAATGCATGAACAATTGGTTTGAAGTCTAGGTCTCCTTGTTGCACTTGCATAGAGGGCACACCAAATCTGAAATGTCAAAACCCTTTCATCAACATTTCTTTAGTTAGGGATTTTTCCCAAAGTACCACCCAAGCAAAGAATTTCACTTTTGGTGAAGCAACAGAACTCCAAATAGCCTTGGTTGGAAAATTCTACCCTAAATAACTTACTATTCCTTTGTAAAAGGATTCAACAGAAAACTCGCCTGATTGTGCCCATTTCAAATGTCTAGAATCTTGGAATTGCAAATTGTTGCTGATTTTGGAGCAGAGCTAGTAATTCAATCACCATTTCCATCTCCCAATCATTGAAGCTCTTTCTAAAAGAATCCATGTAGTTCTTCCTTCTTCCAATACGAGATTGAAAACATGTCTTGTAGTGGTCGATTGCCACACCAAGGATCCAACAAGAATTTGAATTTGACCTTGTTACCAATTCCAACTTTAAGACTTATCCCTTTCATATATGTGAGGAAGTTTTGGAGATGACTCTCCAGACACTACATCCATATGGAAAATGGGAAACCTCTGCATCCCAGCCATTGCTTCAAAGTTTCAAACACCATACTTCCCAGCTATTATATTCCTCCATAAGTCATTAGATTCTATAGAAAATCTCCAAAGCCATCTGCTTAATAGAGCTACATTGAAGTTCTTCACCCTTCTCCCAGCCCACCTTGACATATAGGCTTGCATACCTGTTCCCAATTCACCAAATAATTTTTTGAGTCTTTCCAACCCATCCCCTTTATTTCCTTCTTTTTCAGGGGTGRGGGGTAAATATGTAGAACTTAGTTTTCCAATTAGATCATTTAATGGATTTCAAACAAGAATTTGGAACATATTGGTAATTAATGAAGTACTAAAAAATGTTAGCAGGAAGAACCACAACACCCAAAATATTCCTTATTTCAACATCCTTCATAGAAAAAAATATATATTTTAGTGTTTTTAATGGCCATTTGCAAAGGTATAAACGGAAATGAGTGTATAGGAATTGATGGATAATTTTTTTAAAAAAAATAAGGGGCACGATTTGAACTAGATGAGTGGAAAAACTAGAAAGGATAGGATCAGAAACAAAGTCATTCATAGGAACATAGGAGTAGCCTCAATAAGTGATAAAATGAGAGAAAGTAAACTTAGATGGTTTTGTCATGTGCACAGAAGACCATCGATAGCACCTATATGAAGAAGTGATTTGTTGCAAGTTGAAGGGGCTAGAAGAGTTAGGGATGGACCAAAAAGGACTTGGGTAGAAGTAGTGAGAGATGATTTAAGCGCTAATCATTTAATAATGGAGAATGGATATGGATTTAAACAGAATGAAATGGCAAAACAAGACTCATGTAACTGACCCCATATAGTTGGGATAAGGCTTGGATGATGYTGAGGGGCACAACTGCAGCATCCTTGATAACATCAACCTTACTTAATCTCAAATTTAGGGCTTTGTACATTATCTCATAATACCTGAAGGAGAAAGCAAAATACAGTGGAAAACATGTCCATCCTCCAATTATAGGCAGGGAAACAATGGTAGCCATCACACATTCATATCATGCAGTGAAATGGTAATCCCATAATATTCCCAAACATGTCAAGGAATAAACCAAACTACTCCATTTGACAAATTCTAAACTTCACCAAAAGAATTGGAAATTGTAGTTAAGTAAACAAAATAAGAAAGTCTAACAATCATATAAACAATAATAAAGAAATAAATAATAGGCCAAGCAAAGATAGATTTACCTCTGAAACATTGACGAAAACCACCCCTTCTTTGCATCAGCCTTGGTGTTCTTTGCCAATTCCTCTTCTTCTTCAGTCTCACTTTCGCTGCTGATAACTTCTTCCTGGTCCATCAGACTTTCACCCTGATCTGCCATAACTGCAATATTTTCATCCCCTTTCTCATCCACAGGATCTGTAAAATCCAATTTTGACTCCGGAGGAGAATCGTCCCAAACTCTATTTGCCTTTGGCTTTGATTTTTTCTGAGCCTCCGCCTTGGAGGTCTTGTTAGCAACGGTATCTGATTTCTTCCCACCTTTTGATCTTAGCTTCTGAAGTTTACTTACGTCAAAAGCCCCAGTTCCGGAAGCCCCATTCTCTTTGCTCYTAGGAACACCGTCTGCTGGAGACTTCTCCATTCCAACATGCCCATTGGAATGCCCGTTCTCCAATTTTCGGCCCTTCCCAGAATCACCATCACCGCCATCCTTGCCAGCCCCGCCGCTCTTCTTCTTACCACCCCCATCCGATCCAACCTTCTGAGATGTAGTTTGCCGCTGCATCTTACTCGGCCCGTTCACAGCCTTCGCCAGCTGACCTGACTTCTTCATTTCCTCGGCCCTAGCCTCAGCCTCCTTACGAAGCTGCCGAAAAACATCATCGAAATCATTATATACGGTGCGCTTCGGATCATAAATCTCCGAGAACTCGCGCTTCACCATCGAGAGCAGATCATCCACATACAACAGATGGAGAATTCGCTGATAAACCGCCACGAAAATCAGGCCGAGCTCGTTATGGAAGGTCCATTTGAGGGTGTAAGCGGCACCGGGAGCATCGTAGTTATATGAAGCGGCACCGGATCGCTCCTCCAGAAGGCAAGATCGGATCAAGGTGTCGATGGGAGATCCTTTGAGGGCATTCCCGAGCTCCTTGCATGTCCAGAGGATCAATCCTCCTCTCGTGAATATCAGTAACTGTTCTAACATCTCCGGTTCTACGAAACTACCCTAATTCCCTGAAATTAAATCCAAAAAAGGCAAAAAACAAAAGAAGATTTAGATTTCGAGACAACACAATGCAAAATACCGCAGTCGCAAATCAAACATGAGAAGAAGATCATCAAACAAAACCTAAACCTAGTTTGTGAGAATTAACGGAGGAAATACTTGTATTACCTTCTAAGTCTGAGAAAGCCTAGAGAAAAGAAAAAGGTAACGATGAGGAAGAAGAAGAAGTAGAAGAAGAGAGAATCAAATTCTAGAATTTTCAACGCTTACAGTATTTATAGCACACGTATATTTGACTTCATAAGTTAACAGAGACCAGATAAACGTCAAGTGCGCACGCCACCGCCCGACGGCCGACAACTCCGGTAGCCCACCTAAGTTAACCGTCATAATAAAGAGCTTTTCTTAAGAAAATAAAAAAATAATTATTAAATGTGAAATTACAAAAAAGTTAGAAAATAAAATTTTTATGCCAATAATACCCTCGGCTTACATTTTTTGTTTGGTTTTAGAATTGATCGAGTAGTCAAACTGTCCAGGTCCCGACGGCTGACCGTTTCATCGGTTCACCGGTTCTACCACCCACTGGGTCAATGTTGGTTTTAAATTGATCGAGCGCTTGAATGAAAGGTATCACAACCATTGACGGGTATTTTTGTGGGGTCTGGATGACTGGATCTGGTAAGACGAATACAAGTACGGGTGCAACTCGGGCGAGTTGGGTTGAATTGAAAGTCAACCCAGGCCCAACCCTAAAGTTGCAAATAAGGTCTTGTGCTTGGCCCAACCCGTGGTTCAGCACGAATTTATCAAACCAGGCCTAACCTCGGGCTTATCCCAACACAACTCAGGGTTGGGGTTGGGATCAGATTGGGTCAACCCGTGACGAATACACTTTTGTATAATTATCTTTTATTGTGCTTTATATAATATCAGAAAGAAAAAAAAAGGAAAAACCTATGATGCAACATGATACTAAAAGGGTTTTCAAGGTAGTTGGTGATACACCCACCACTTCATTCCCAAAATTTGTGATAGTAGGATTCAAAGCTCCATCTCTAACATATAAATTATAGGTACATAGTGACTTTTCAGACCATAAGAGAATAGAGAGGATATCGAATTGGTATTCCATCAACCCTTGCGATGAGTTCACAATTCATCAGCCTGCGATGAATGAACTTTTAGACATGTGTGGTTCTGCGATAAATTTYGGATATGTGTAGTTCTGCGATAAACTTCAGGTGTGCATGGTCTTGCAATGAACTCRAGACCATTACAGAGCCTCAGGGTCACCGTAGGCTAGGAATAAAAATTAGTTACACGTGTGCCTTTAAGTTACACGCGTGATAAAGTGCCACGTGGGTCTAATAAAAGTGTGYCCACTAATGAATGACGTCACCAGTGCCACGTTGGTTAAATGAACCACGAAAGAAAGTAGCAAACATGGATTATGAGAATCCTCGGATAAAAGGAAAGTCAGTCCTTTGAGGGATCTCATAAAACACGTGGCGAAACCCTATTAGTACTCCTTGATAACTGACAACGAATCCAATATTCCCTTTCCTAATGGGAATCAAACACTTTTGACTCCATTTCGGGACCTCGGGATCTCTCCTTATAAATGAGAGACCATCCCATAACGAAATCATCATTCAATCATTCCCTTACTCATTTGTTCTTATCACCTTATCGTTTGCCTTAACCTTTAACCTACCTCCTGCCTTCGGTTTTCCTTTGTCCTTCAAGAAGACCACTCTCGTATAGCCTAACCACACCTTGCTTACACAAACTAAGCCACCCCTCAATTAGCATACTGAGGAAGGGTGATTTGGCACGACCTAGCAAGAAGGGGACACGTAGGCACGATCTGATCGAAGGACGACAACTCAGCCAAGCAAGCCCAGTTCATAATATTCGTAGTTCGGGTATTCGGCCACCTCGGCTCRAAATTCGCCTCGGTGTAGAGGTACCTCGACACCTAATCCAGTTCGGGACTAAAGAATCGAAGTTCCAACTCGGAGCTAATGAGTTGAAATGCCACATAACCGACTCCAAAGGCCTCCCCAACAGATCCCGAATCTCTTGAGGTCACGATGAGCCAACGGATGTGGGAAACGATCGAAAGGTCATCCCTATCTCTTTGCAATTTCAAGCTTAATCTCAACCTCAATGGCATCCTCCAGTCACACCGGCAAAAGTGTCGAGATGAACGTCACCGGGGGGCAAGCCCAGCAACCAACCTTCCCCCAAGCTCCTACGGTGTGCATCAGCCAGTTCACCATTCCGCTCACAGCGTCTGGAGTCCCATCACTGTCCGCACCACCAAGCACCACACAAGTGAGCGCCCAACTTCCCCCAGTGGTAGGCGCAACTTTTTATGAGCCCTCCGTGGTTCCCCTCGGAATCGAGCATTCCCAGTTTCACGACCTCATTCAGTGCGTCCGGGCTATTTAGATCCAGATGCAGCAAGTCCAACAATTTCAGCAGTACTAGTAGTATCATTTCTACCAGCAATATCAACATCAGTACCCTCAACTACAGCCAAACCAGCAACCGATTCCACCTTGGCACCTAGGGCCCCATCACGGTCAGAACCCAAATCGGCTTGGGACAAACCAGAACATCAACCGATCTCCCCATCAGGGTGAAGAGACCTCACAAGTACTGATTCCTCTCAGGAGTTAGGTCTCGCCCCATGGGAAGAGAGACAGTCAGCACACTCCGCCGGTCTCGCAAGGAAATCTCATAAACAGGTCCGGGGATAGTCAGTCCAATCCACCTCGGTACTCACAGCAAGAAAATGACGGCTCGCGAGCAGATAACCAGTTTGGGGTTCGATGTGTGAACTCGACACAAGGCCTCTCCGTCCCTCGTGATAGTCAGCCCCAGAATCCCACAAGGAACCAGGATCCACCTCGCGATAGGGCCGAAATACTAGACCAAACTGAAGTCAGCAGCACCAACACCGAGCCGGTGAAGAAGAAGCAGCGACGACGTCGCAAAACACGCCGCCCCTCGGTCAGGAACAACTTGCCAATGAAGCCAGGTCAATTAGAAGAGCAAACCAAAGGGAAGGAAGAAGCGAGCTCGGTGGCTACAAAGACCACGCCTCCACTACTTTGCCAATCATCCCCTCTGTCCCCCAAGCTCTTGGCAACTCCAATGCCAAAAGACTTCAAGATGCCCCCGTTAGACAAGTATGACGGGTCGTTCAACCCCAATGACCATGTAGATTATTTCTAGTCTCAGATGCACCTAGCTATGGCTGATGAGTCTTGCATGTGTGTGGCCTTCTCTACTACGTTCAAGGGGGTAGTCCGAACTTGGTACCGAAATCTCACGCCGAGCTCCATCAAAAGCTGGTTCCAGTTCGCCGACTTGTTCACCGCACACTTTATTACTAGCAAGAAGTGTCCGAAGTCGCAGGAAAGCCTTCTCAACGTGGTTCAAAGGGAATGAGAATCGATCAGAAGCTATATCAAGCACTTCAATGACACTTGCCTACAGATACCGGACCTCGACCCGGCAGTACGATTCAGTGCAGCCAAGAAAGGAATCACCCACAAGGAGTTTAAGTGGCATGTGGTAGCTAACAAACCAAAGGACATCATCAAATTCCTTAAATTAGTAGATCAGTTCATCGGTACTAAGGAGGAAATTAATCAAAAGGTCAACAACCCACCGCCGGAAAAGAGGAAGAGAGAGAATGAAGGAACAAGCAATGGTGGACGGAAGAGGAAGAAAAGCAAGTCCCCGAGCAAGGGAAGAAACAACTCCAGAAGCCGGTCCCCCTCATGAACTCGCAAATCAGCTCGGCGCTCCAGGACCCCACTTGTGGAGTGAACGAGCTACACGCCTTTGAATGCTAAGAGAGGAGAGATCCTAATGGCCATTAAGGACTTCTTCTTCGTTAAATGGCCTCCCAGGCTAAGGGTAGACCCAGCAACAAGGAACCCAAACGTTTACTGCCATTTTCATCGAGATCATTGGCACAACATAGAGAATTGCAGGAATCTCTGCAACGAGATTGAGGAACTCATCCGACGCGGATACCTGAAGAACTTCATCTTACGGGAAGAGAGGGGTCAAACAGATCAGCAGGCAGATCGACAAGGGGACCAGATGAGGAATGCCCCCAAGACTAGCAGGCAAAATGAGCAACCACCGCGTCAGTTGCCAAAGGAAAGACCGATCCGTGGGGTAATTAACATGATTACCGGCGGGTCCATCATTACCGGGTGTACATCAGCAGCCAGGAGGACATTGGTCCGCGAGCTAGAGAATGAAGAGAAAAACCCGCTAAAGAGGCCTCAGCTTGAAGGACCGATATACTTCACTGAGGACGATGCACGCGGGATTCAGTGTCCTCATGATGATGCCCTAGTAGTGAAGCTGCGAATTAACGACTTTGAGGTAAAACAGATATTGGTAGACTCAGGCAACTCGRCAGATATACTCTTCAAGGAGACTTTCGATAAATTACAATTACAGTAGAGAGACCTGAGACCGGAAGATACCCCTTTGGTAGGGTTCAGCGGCGAGGAGGTCAGACCTCTTGGTCGAATCACAGTACCTGTGGAAGCCAGCACGTGGCCAAACATCGTGCGATTTGAGCACACCTTCCTGGTAGTCGCAACTCCCTCCCCCTACAACGCCATACTAGGTCAGCCTATCACACATGTTCTACACGCGATAGTATCCACTTACTATTTGACAATGAAGTTCCCAACTGATTATGGAGTGGGAGTCGTGCGAGGTGATCATCTCAAATCGCGCAAGTGCTACAGAGTTGCTCTTAAAGGAAAAGCGAAGCTAGTAGAGGATGTCGAGCTCGAGCGACCAGCGAAGCATACCGACGAGCGAGCTGCCCCAACAGACGAGACGGTCCACATTCCGTTCTCTGTTGACGAATCGACCAAGACTCTCCAGATCGGTGCCTCGATCAACGAACCACTTCGCTCCCAGCTAGTAAGTTTCTTACTTAAAAACTTAGATGTTTTTACTTGGTCTGCGGCAGAAATGCCCGAAATTGATTTGAAAATTATAACTCACAAACTGAATACCGACCCTTTAGTCAGGCCAATAAGGCAGAAGAAGCTCAACCTCGCCCCAGAACGTTGGAAGGTAGTCGATGAAGAGGTTAGGAAGCTTCTCGCGGCAGACTTCATCAGAGAAGTCCATTACCCGAGCTGGGTGGCAAACCCGGTTCTRGTGAAAAAAACCAACGGCAAGTGGCGCATGTGCGTCGATTACACCGACCTGAACAGAGCTTGCTCGAAAGATTGCTTCCCGCTGCCCAATATCGACCGCCTAGTGGACGCGACCTCAGGGCATGAGTTGTTGAGCTTCTTGGACGCCTATTCCGGTTACAATAAGATTAGGATGGATCCTATTGACGAAGACAAGACTGCCTTCATATCTGAGCTCGGGCTATACTGTTACAAGGTCATGCCTTTCGGATTAAAAAATGCTGGGGCAACCCTTCAGCGCCTTGTAAATAAGATTTTTGAGCCGTTAATCGGCAATAAAATAGTGTTATGTTGATGACATGGTCGTGAAGACCCAGTTTTCTGATTTTTTGTTGAATGATTTAAAAAGTGTTTTTCAAATTTTACGAAGATATAACATGAAGCTAAATCCAAATAAGTGCGTCTTCGGGGTCACTTCGGGTAAATTTCTAGAATATATAGTCAACTGATGTGGCATCGAGGCCAATCCGGATAAAATAAAAGCCATTCTAGATGTGAGACCACCCCGGAAAATAAAAGAAGTTCAGAGGCTGACTRGTCGGATAGCCGTCCTGAGCCGCTTCATGTCCAAGTCAGTAGATCGGTGCTTACCCTTTTTTAAAGCGATAAAAAAGAGTAAGGACTTCGAATGAACTGAAGAATGTCAACTCGCCTTTGACGAGCTAAAAAGATACTTAGGTACCGCCCCAGTTTTAACTCGACCCAAAGAAGGGGATGTGTTAAAGCTATACCTCTCTGCGAGCGACGAGGTGGTTAGTTTGGTACTGATCAAAGAAGTAGATCGGGTCCAATGACCCATCTACTATGTTAGTAAAATTTTGTAGGATGCAGAAACTAGGTATCCGGAAATCGAGAAATTAGCATACGCACTAATCATAGCAGCCCGAAAGCTTCGCCCATACTTCCAGGCCTACACTGTCGTCGTTCTCTCCAACAAACCCCTGAGTCAGATTCTGCTCAAGCCTGAGGTGTCTGGGAGATTGACGAAGTGGTCCAGCAAACTGAGTGAATACATTATCCGGTATGAGCCTCGGCCAGCAATTAAAGCTCAAGTCTTAGCTGATTTTGTAGTAGAATGTATGTTCAGCATTGCGACCCTCGAGCTGATCGAGCTCGACCACACGACGGAAGCTTCAACCAGTGCGGCACTGGTCCCGATCAGAGCGGAACCAACATGGGACAAGGAGCTCTGGATCCTTCACGTCGACAACTCGTCCAACTAGCAAGGAAGCGGTGTAGGACTGATACTGTATGCCCCAAGCGAGGTGAAGTTGGAATATGCTCTCTGGTTCGGATTTGAGGCATCAAACAATGAGGCAGAATACGAAGCGTTGGTCGTCGGGTTAACCTTAGCAAGGGAAATGAAGGCCAAACACCTCATTGTATGCAACGACTCACAACTAGTGGTTAACCAAGTCACTGGTGAGTATGAAGCCCGTGACCCCACTATGGCAGCTTACTTGGCCAAAGTCAGAGAGATCCTGCACAGCTTCATCTCCTACTTCATTAGACAGATTTTGAGGTCTGAGAACGCTGAGGCCGACGCCTTGTCACGACTAGCTAGCACGAGCAGCAACACCATGCGAACTGTGTACATGGAGGATCTACCTCGGCCCAGCATTCTTGGGGGGCAGAAGAGGTCGCTCCCGTATCACAAGTGGAACCGAGCTAGATTGACCTGCTCATGAGTTATATGCTCCATGGTGCCCTACCTGCAGAATGTAACGCAGCCCGAAGGGTAGAGCGCCAATAAGATAAATATGTCTTCATAGACAAACAGTTGTACAGAAGGTCTTTCACGCTCCCTTACTTGCGCTGCTTGYGACCCTTAGAAGCTGAGTATGTACTTCGTGACACCCATGAAGGCTTGTGCGGCGGACACTTGGGGGGCAGAGCTCTTGCACAGAAAGTGTTAAGGCAAAGCTATTATTGGCCCACAATGAAGGCAAATGCACTCGAGCTCATCAAAAAATGTGACAGGTGTCAAAGGCATGCCAACATTCACCATAAACCTGCTGTTGATCTGAAATACTTCACTAGCCCGTGGCCCTTTGTGTAGTGGGGAATCAACATCCTTGGTCATTTCCCCTAGCAACAGGGCAGAAGAGGTTCTTGCTTGTAGCAGTAGATTACTTTACGAAGTGGGTGGAAGTCAAACCCTTGGTAACGATCACAACCCGCAACATACAGAACTTATTCTACAAAAGCATAGTATGTCATTTCGGACTACCTCGGGTGCTGATATCCAACAATGGGAAATAGTTCAAAGATATTAAGTTCCAAAACTGGTGTGCCGAAATGGGGATTCAATAGAATTTTACCTCGGTGGCACACCGAACTACTATTAAGGGGTTGTGGGTGGACGATACTGCCCAGTGTACTTTGGGCCTACCGAACTACTATTAAGACCGCCACAGGTGAAACCCCTTTCAACCTCACGTATGGCATAGGATCCCGACAAAAATCGAGGTACCCACATTACGACTGGAGGCTTACGATAATGAGGTGAATGATGACGAGCTCCATACCAACCTATACCTAATAGAGGAGGTACGAGACCTGACTTACATCTGGAACGCAGCTTACCAACAAAGAGTAGCTCGGTACTATAACGCTCGAGTCAAAAAGTGACACTTTCGCGTCGGCGACCTAGTTCTTCGGAAGGTTATGGTACCTGARTCCGGCGTTGGCAAGCTCGGACCGAATTGAGAAGGTCCATACCGAGTAAAACGGGTATTTGGGGAAGACACGTATGAGCTCGGAACTTTAGAAGGGAAGCAGGTACCACGAGCATGGAATATTGATAACCTGAGAAGGTATTACTCATAAACTTGTAACCCAAAGGCAAAATTTCCTCAAGTCTATGTGACCGCCGARCTGGTCAAAAAAGATGACGAACTGGAGAGAGGACTATGAGTCACTCACAGAAGCCTAAGGGCTATGATGTCAAGTTGATAGAAGACCTCGGCACTATGACAAGTCTTAGTCGCCTCTTCGGCATAGGCAGACAAGCCCTAGTCGCCTCTTCGGCATAGGCAGATGAGTCTTAGTCACCTATGAGGCATAGACAGCTCAAGTGCAAACCCTACGGTGTCTAATTCACCTCGGCGTATAACAACGTAAGGTTAATCCCACATGGAGCCGAGCTCGTTAGCTCGACACTTAGGGATAACCAACACTTAGGCAAATAAGTGACCCAAGCATAGACAGTTCGGGTATGTACCCTACATTGTCTGATCGTCCTAGCATGCAACGGGAATTATATTGTTTCTACATCCTTGAGCTCACCAGCTCGGCAGCAACCTATACTTAGGAAAAGTTCACTCCTATTTGGTTTAGTTCGCCAGCTCGGGAGTAATCTACACTTAGAAAAAATTTTGCACAAAGATTGCCAAAACACTTATATTTCATTGATGTAGAACTTCGAGTACAAAAAAAAAACTATAACCGAGCTCGGAGGCCCGAGATGTACATTGTATGTAAGGAGGTCCAAGAAAAGAGGCACGACTATACATCCGATCTGCCAGAATCCCCTCCAGCAGGTAGGTCGGTTTCCATGTGGTCCTCCTCCACGTCCTCTTGGCCTGCCTCTCCTGACGGCTTCGCCTCAAGAACTTCATCGTCGCTTCCCCTTCAGAGGAGTCGGGTTCCTCGTCAGCCTCCTTCGCCATCTCAGGAGTGACGGCCGACATGAAAACAGACCCGAAGTCGAGCTCGGGAAACTTCCACCGCATCAGCCACTTGCAAAGATTGAAGCCTGACCGGTATGAGCTAGATCCGTACTCGACCTRGAGTTCGTGAAACTCTGGAGACTCCTTGAAATCCTCGATGGCACGCTCTCTCTCCTGAACTCGCGCCTCCTGGATCACGGTGTCAAAGATCTCGATGCGCTCCTTGATTATCGCCTCGAGGTTCTCGTTCTCGCACAAGAGAGCCTCCTTCTCCCCCTTGAGTTTATCCTTCTCCTCCGTCAGTACAAGGATCAGCTCCTGCTGGCTCCGAGCTCCCTTCTTAGCTCGAAGAACCTCACCCCAAGCTAAATCCAGCTCGTTGTAAAGCTTCCAAACATTTTATTCGGCCTCCCGGGCTCACTTCAAACGGATCTCGGACTGGTAGACGAGCGAATGAATAATGGATTTCACCTAGCAAAAGGAAAGTAGGCATAAGTACTATTAATGGAAGAGTAAGAAAATAAGCAAAAGAGCAAACTACTCACCACCATGCAGTAACTAGTCGCTCTTCCCCCGAGCTGACTTGTTGGCATGTCAGCCCATTCTGCGACCTCCGCAGGAAACACGACATCCTTGCTCTTGAGGATCCCGAGCCGCGGGGTCATTATGCTCTCCTTCGGGAGCTAAGGCTCGGGCACCGAAGTACCCTCAGGCTCGTGAGGCAGAGCTCCGTCGTCCTGGTCCTCGTCCAGGTCAACGACTAGAGGTTGGGGACCGACCTCCTCCCGACGAGACCTCTTCGAGGCCTTCCTCTTCTTCCCCTTCTGAACACTTCGCATGAGGTTTGCTGAATCAACGCCTGTCATAGCTGCTACAAGAGAAAAAGAAAAAAGTTAGTCACGAACTGAAGTAAGTGCAAAATAAGAAAGAAAAAGCAATGTGTGTGCCGAGGTGGAGACCTACCAGGAGGACTCAGCCCAGCTCGTAAAAGCTTCTCATCAGCCAAGAAATCTTTCATTTCAAGGCCGAGGTCCCTCCAGGAATTAACGACTGCCCTGGTCTCAGCATAGCCTCACCCCGGGGTCCTTGATGGTCACTCGCCAGTGAGTCGGGAATGGCCATCCCTCAAAGTTCCGAACAAAAAAGTACCTCCTCTTCCAGGCCGGTACTTTGTTCGGGCTACCAAACAAGATTTTGAACCTAGGACGAGGGGAAATGTAGTAACTATGTCGGGTGTCCCCGCGCAAGCAAGCGGAGTTCTTCTTGATGGAGCAGATCGAACTAAAGGTGTCTAAGGAAAGAGGTCGGTTATACTCGTGGAACAGAGAGATCGTGCCCAGTATGGTTCAGATGGAGTTCGGGTGTAACTGGTTAATGGTAATGTCGAAGAACTTAATAATCTCTATGATGAAAGGGTGGAGCGGGAAGCGCAACCCTGCTACGAGTTGCTCCTCAAAAACCGCGAGCTCGTGGTGACCATGAACCCAAGGGTACTGACCCAAAGGAATACTAAAGGTAAGGGTGTCGGGAAGACGGTAACAGGCTACCAAGGACAGTAATCTGTCCGAGGTTATCGTGGAAGGGCCGAAGCCATCCGGATCCCGACCCCGAGAAGAAGATGGGACCCCCTCTCTAGAGGTCGGTTCCTCTACCCGAGCTTTAGGTTCCTCAGGCCAAGATGGCCCGACGTCAGGTAAAGGTGTTTCCCCTAAGAGGTGTAACGAGGAGCTCTCTAGCAAAGAGCCGACCTCACCGGCGGGAGCCAAGGACCGCACCTCGGCACCCTCGGGCTCATTAGAATAACTAAGCAACCTATCTATGCTAGCACTAGACATACTGGACAGGAAAAGGAAAGGGGAACGACTAATGAAAGAAGACGAACTCACCAAAAGAACGACAACGACCTCGGACACAAAGGAAGGAGTGGCGAGCAGAAGGACTTCGACGCGACATCAGGAGAGCTCAATTACAAGATTTTTGGCGAAGGCAATGGGCCCTATGGCCCCCTATTTATAGTTCTCCGCATCCGGTGATCAATGGTTGAGACCTACATGATCCGATGGCTCCCATGAAAACCGGCTGCACATCGCCCGAGGACAAAATCGGTTGAGTGCGCTCTTTGACGTCCGCGGAATCTATAAACAGTGTGACGTCCGCGCGTGCCTGGGACGCGACTTGGGTCATTTCGTGGTTGAGTCAGATGGTTGAACAGGTCCGACCAGCAGTTCACCCTCCAAATTGACTAGACCTCGCACCAAATCCACCTAGACTCTTCATGAACTCCCCACACCGGGTTAGGACCCCTGGCACGAGGAGTGGGGGGCAATTGATGAAGGATGATTTGGCACGATCTAGCAAGAAGTTGACATGTAGGCGCAATCTGATCGAAGGACGACAACTCAGTCAGGCAAGCCTAGTTCAGAATATTCACAATTCAGGTATTCGGCCACCTCGGCCCGAAATCCGCCTCGGTGTAGAGGTACCTCGACACCCAATCCAGTTCGAAACTAAAGAACCGAAGTTCCAACTCGGATCTAATGAGCCGAAACGCCACATAACCAACTCCAAAGGCCTACCCAACAGATCTCGAATCTCTTGAGGTCACGATGAACCAACGGATCCCGAATTTCCCGAGATCACGATAAGAACTCACCCCGGTTCCACCTGAATCAGAGGTAGACGATAAACCTTATCAACGTACTGCTCTCCTTCAAAAACGGAACCAACCTTGTCTTCACAGCCCAGAGAACCTGAAGCTCTTCCGTAAGGCCTGCGACTAATCCAGTATATAAAGACTCAAAATCTCAAGGCGAAGGTACGCGTGATTATTCTACTCACTAGCACTTAAGCTCTCAAGCATTCAGCTCGCATTCACAACATAAGTACTAACTTAAGCATTGGAGCGACCTCGTCGGGTTCTCTGATACACTATTTTGTAGATCTATCCAACTCGCCGCCCATTTAAAATTCGGATCGCCCTCTAGCTAGGAATAGCTATATCGCGCAGCATCACATACCAAAAAGGTTTTGATCAATCAAAACCCCATATAAGTTTAATTAAAAAAATCATTTAATCATTTCTTTTGTTGGTTATCACTTTTATGATATCAATTGATTGGTTATAGCTATTTCTGATACAATGTCTTTTCGGTATTATAATCGAACCCATAAATAAAATACATATTTATATGTATTTGTTCGAACATATTAGATTGGATTTGAATTGCATATTTGCATTGGGACAATTCAAGATTTGACTCAACCTACCCAAGACCTCAACCAAAGTCCAACTCAAATTTGGATGAAGCCCCAATTATTTGGACGGGATCAAGCCTTCAATCCGAAAATTCAGACCCAACCCATGCAAAATCCCGGGGTCACGTCAGACTCAGATTGAGCATTTCATCCCAACACACAAATATGCATACCTGACTAATCACGAAGGAACAAACTAGCATTCCGTGTAATGGGCCCCACACCCTGTGCGGCGATTTGAAAATGTGAAATAACTGACCGTGTAGGGTCGGGTCAGTCCGCGTAGATAGGCACCAAAGCCAGTTGTGTTATTTGTCATTTTGGTTGTTTTGTAGTGGTACTGTACAACAAATGGCTATCCATATCTGTATTGGGCACTAGGGCTTATCGATGTGATATCAACAGAATCGCTCAAAAATTGTTAGGCCAACTATCCATCACTTCTTTTTCTTCGTTCCTGTGGGCTGTGGTAAAGACCACAAGCTCACAAAGCCACAATTAGTGATCATAATCATACTCGAAAGGATGTGATGGTTTTTTATTTTTATTCTTTGGCCTAACATATCCATTAAAGGAAAAAAAAAAGCATTCATTCAAAATTTCAAAATAAATTAATTTTCCTGACAAAAGGGTTGAGAAATTGATGTGGGCTAATGGCTGCACCATTGATTTTGCCTTCTTTTCAATATTTTTTTTTATCAACAATTGATGCGGACTGATATCAGAATACTCACTCACCTCAACTCAAATCAGCCTTAATCTTCTCTCTTTTTGGTTCAAGAATGTAAAGTGCAATTCATTATTTGTATTCTTCCCGTGCTGTTTAAAATCGATGCAAAACGTAAACTTCATCATTTAATATTTTAAATTTTTTATCAAATTAGTTAATTATCAAAAAAGCATAAATTTATATCTAAAAAATAAATACAATAATKTGCTCTTTTCACAATATAAAAATATAAGAAAAAACATTTTTGACACCTTAATTATTACATTTTTGTTTGACAACCAAATGCGAACTGGGGTACATATATAACAAACAAACGCAGCCTTAACAGCAATTGAAATCGGAATACTCACCGAATCAACTCAAATCAGCCTTGATTCCAATCATGGACAATCATCTAGTAAAATCATGTTCCATTATTGTGTTTTATCAATCATCTAGTAAAATCATGTTCCATTATTGTGTTTTATCAAGAGCCATGTCTTTCATTAGGGGGGTATTAACCATTGATCAACCCAAAAAGTTTCAGTTAGAAACAGCAATGGCACTAAACACAATCATAATTGTCAATACTGTCTAAGGATTGGAGATTGGGTCAATCTAGTGCGTTGCCACTTGCCACCAGCCAAGCGCAGGAGAACCTCTCTTTCTCATACATATTTCATATCTGGATTCTGGAGTTCATAGACCATTCTCTGGTCTAATAACTAGACCAGAGATCCAAACAAGACAGAGAAATGAAACCGCCATAGAATAAATAGCCTGAAGATAAGTGAGAAGATGGTATCCTTGACACACCACAATGCAAAATCATACTAGAAGTAGCAGGTCAAATACTGCAGCCTAATGGCGCCTCGGTTAATAACACAACGTCTAAACCTAGATTGATCGATTGCTAGGACAAGAAATTTTGGAATACAAGATAATTTGATGGGACCAATTTTGACAACCACCACCGTGTACCCTGTGATCAGTTAATTTGAACTGTGAACCTGCAATTTTCTACAACACATTGCCATACTGGGTAACACAGGATGCAGTGAATCTGAAGAGATTAATGGAAGATAGTTGATGTTTTATCTACTTCATAAGTCATAACAGATGTTCAAGTCTTGAACAGAAACAAGAGCATCTAAGGTTGCAGAATACTCTATTTGAATGGACTTCCACACAATGAAACACCTTAAAACTTCCTTAAGCCTCAGAAACTACCTTTTTTCGGTCATTTTACAGACAAACAGTATAAGCTGCTATTTGTCTATATGAGATGGTCAAATGATAATGGGAAGGATGGGGGATCCTGGACTTCACTGTTGCTTCTCACTGTTGCTCTCCAGTTCTCTTTTCAGCTGAAGAGAGAAGTCATCACTGACATCATCATCATCCCAGTCATCTTCCCACTGTTGTGTTTCTTTTCCTTCCTCCTTGTCATCCCACTCTGTCATACATGAAACAAATTAATAAAGTCAAGAAGATGGGCAAGAAAGATGATTTAACCTTCTTTTTTCAATAGAACACTAGCAAGCAACAGGTGAATAGCAAGAATATGGTGAAATCCATTCACAAAAAGAATGGTTTCATTTGCCAATCTTGTTACATGTAATTTAATGTACACAGACACCAAACAAATAAAAAAGCTAAATGGAGAAAAATACAAGGGAAAAAATGTTAAAATGTTCCAGAGTTTGTTTGACAGATTTTCAAGCACCTCAAATGGCATAGAGATGACAGAGGCAGAGCTAAAGAAGTTGCTACAACACTATACCTTTCCAGTTCCCACCAATAATATAATTAACAATATAAAAGGTCATTATCTAATGTTGGTCCTAGATATCTTGGGTCTTGGGAAGGGTAGACTGGATAGGGTCCTAACCGTTGGCATATTTTGCACAAAGTGGCTGCTCTCAGACTCGAACCAGCATTCTCATGCTTGCAAGCCCAAGATTTTACCATTACACCAAGCAATGGCCCCTAATATAATTAACAATATATTCCCCATAAAACAAAACCCAACTTACCAATGATTCCGTGGTGCCTATACAATCTTTCACTTGCTTACATTATTTTTGGATCAATAACCATCACATATTCTTTTAATTACAAGGAACAGGTGAAACCCATACTCATGCACTCTTGTTGCCCATATTTTCCTTAATTTAACTCATATGTTTCAAGTTTGTATGCTACAAAAGACATAATGCTAACACAGTTGAATGTGGCACTAAACTCCCTTGCTAATCTGCTCACTTCTCTTATGGTGGACTTGTACTTCCCAAGTACATGTATGATTGATTGTATGCTATCATAAATAGAGTTAAAGCTGGAATTCTTAATCCACTGTTGCCAGATTCTTAATCTTTTCCTTGTCTGATAAAAAAAGTTCTTTTGACATGCAAGATGCTGAATTGAACTTCCCTAGTCAATATTCAAGCTCACTGAATTTTAAGAGAACATCCATGCATCTTATTTGATAGACTTATTATTATTTTTTTGATTAGTGGTGTTTCAATTATTTGTTAGAACTATTGTCCTACAAATGCCACTAGAACCAGAACAGTAATATCAATTTTAGTGCCTATGATGTTCTATTATAACAATGTACACAATTCTAGGAGGCATCTCAATGACTGGGAGTTCTCAGATCTGCTAGAGTTACTCCAGTTAATTCAGGATCATCAACCACATCCAAATCAACAAGATTATAGAGTTTGGAAGTGGGCTAGTGATGGTATTTTCTCTGTGAAGTCCTTTTATTTGAAGTTGATTGCTGGTGATTCTCAGGCTTTTCCGTGGAAAGAGATTTGGCTCCATCACATTCCTCCTAAAGTCTCTTTCTTGGTCTGGACAGCAGTTTAAATGTCTTTCTAAGGATCAGTTGACCAGGAGGGGTTTGGTGCTGAATTCCCTAAGCTGTGTTATGTGTAATGAGGAAGCTGAAACTGTGGATCATTTGTTCATTAATTCTAAGGCTGCCCATAAACTTTTCAGCCACTTCTGTTCCCTGTTAAATGTCAGCTGGTGCCTGCCCAGGTCTCTATCTGACTTGCTTTTCTCTTTAAGTTGCTGGGCTTAAGCAGTAGGGGCAAGGTGCTTTGGAATGCCATTCCTCATGTGGTGTTTTAGTTCTGTGGAAAGAAAGAAATAGTAGGATTTTTGAGAGAAAGTTCTGCTCCTTAGATGATGTGGTGGTTTGGGCAATGGCTACACTGCATTCTTGGTTGTCGGCCAAAGATTCTTTCAAGCTTATCCCTCATCATCAGTATTTTGATCATGGTTTTTTGTTTACCTAACTTGTTGGTTGTCTCCTGTATTTTTCTTGAGAGACTAGATTTTTTGGGTGGCTTTTCTGTATAGTTGCTGGTTGTACATGGAGCATACTAAGGACAGTTATGTTTTGTTTGTTACAGTTATATTTATAATATAAGACCTTTCTCAAAAGTCATAACAATGTACACAAATAATAAGTCAATTATAGAATTCATAGCAGAGACATGCTTAAGTTTTAATTGGTGCATAGAAACTTAATTTAGTAATCATAATCAAATAAGTCAATTATAAGCAAATACCACTCATGTTAAAAGAAAATTTCTATAAAACAGTAGTAGGACCAGCAGTGTTGTATGGAGCAGAGTGTTGGGTGGTCAAGAAACAACATGTCCCAAAAATGAGTGTAGCAGAAACACGTATGCTGAGATGGATGAGTAGAAAAACTAGAAATGATGGGGTCAGAACTCAGAAATGAAGTTATACAAAAGAACCTAGGAATAGCTCAACTCCAATAGGTGAAAAAAATGAGATAAAGTAGACTAAGGACCTGTTCATTTGTTCTGAAGTCTGACATCTGAAAGTGCAATAATTACATTAAGAGGTATATTGGTATTGGTGAACTTTTCTTTCCTTTGAACCTTGAATGCAGAGAATGTTGTTCTGAATTCTAAATTCTGAATTCTGAAAATGATCAAATATCCATTTTGACCCCATATATGAGAGTTTTTGTTTGTCTTTTTGGGGGTAACATTGGAAAACAAAAAGTTGTATGATTGCACTTTAAGAAATAAGAGATAAGAGGAAATGAACAACCATTTTTCTCTTAAAGTTAAAAGATACCTCTTAAGAGATAAGAGTTAAGAGGAAACGAACAGGCCCTAAGATGGTTTGGTCACATACATAAAAGACCATCAATAAAACATGTAAAAAGAAGCGATCTATTTCAAGTTGAAGGGACTAGAGTTACTAAGGGCAGACCAAAAAGGACATAGATTGAAATAGTAAGAAATGATTTAGGTTCTTATAATTTGACAATGGATATGGCACTAAATAGGATGGAATGACAAAACAGTATTCATGTATCTCACTCAGTATAGCCAGGATAAGGCTTAGATGATGATGCTGAATCAAACATGTCAATTTATTATTTAAGAAAGTTAATCAAACATGGGACCAATACCATCCTAAGTACTAGGTCAAAGGGTTTCTCATAAATAATATCTAAAAAGAAAAGATCTAATAAAACATAGAGATAATTTTGTGATTCTAAGGGGAAAAATACATAATAAAGAGAACTTCTTGTTTAAATYCTATACCACAGAAGACAATTTCTTGGCAACCAACGGGAGTAAGTCAGCAAACAAACAAAGAGAAAACAACACAAACGATATTACAAATTTTAGCTAGCAGGAGATTACCTTCACCAATTTCAAATTCTTCAAATTCATCATCATCTTCAAAAAGATCAACTTTGGCATCTTCCGTTGCTACCTTTGTTTCGGTTGCCATAGCTAAATGTTCAAGAGACCTGCAAAGAGTTACAGAACGGCAACTACCACTCAACCTATAAACTTAGTAGTTCTAACATACCAAACAAATACCTATTGATGGTAGAAGTAATCCACAACACCAACTATGCAAGAACAACTATATAAATCAACGACACCTAGATTCTTGCTTAAACTCAAAATCCAGATATAATGTCACGAATATTGTAATAGACAGTTACAGTAAAAGACTTCACGCATCTTTGGCATAGTAAAGACAGAAAGGGTATTTAAGTTAACTCAATATTGAGAAAATCGAGCTAGATACAATTCTGCAAAATCATCACTTACTGCAGTTATTAGAAAGCTCACATCTACATTAACAAACGCGCAAAATTGTTGGAATTCTAGCCCAAGTCCTTTTTCTTAATATGTTTTAAGTTTCAAACGAAGCTATAAGCTTACATTTTTATAATTTTTTTGGCAAACCTAAGCCTTACATTCGCATGGTTCTACCTACGGCTTCTTAATCAGCAAAAGAAACACTAAAAACCTCTCAAAATCTTTAGTTTTCCTACGGATTAAGCTATTGAACATAACCAGTTTATAAGATCACAAGTTTCTCCAAATTCATCTTATAATAGAAACTTAAATTCAGAAGAAAAGAATCTTAATCAGGGTTTTAAGAGCTGCAAAATCGATATTTCTTCCTTTAATGGAACCACTAAGCTCGAGACAAAATCTGCYCTCAATAACAACAAGGAAATTGGGTATCTTAAAATTTTCAACCAATCTATGATTTTTAATCTACAAGTGACTAATCAATCGAAACCCTTACATGAAATTCCTAATATATTTATTTATTTCGTACCTGAAAAACGCGAGCTTGAACAAAACCCTAACTTGGCTTCGAGAAAGGAGGAATAAGGAAATCTCTTCTGAGTTCTGAGTTCCGACTTAGCGACTTCTGATACGAAGGGAGCAAGCTGCCAAATCCTAGCTCGCTTTAAGTTAGGGGTGCAACCCGGGAGGGTTGGATCAGGTTTAAGGTCAATCAGGCCCAACCTGCAAACCTCCGGCTCGAACCTGGCCAGCCCGAGGTTAAGGCCAAATTTGACAACTAACGCTCAACCCGAGCCTGACCCAATGCACTTGGGACGGGCTTAGGCTCAGGTTGGATCATATCAGGCTTAGTCAGGCCTGAGTGAGTGGACCCAAGTTCAAAAAATTGTTACGTATCGGCCAATCCGATACATATCGGGAGCACCTTGATATGTCCTTACAGAAGGTATATCAGAACTTTGACCGATTTAGGGGGTGGAGGAACCTTAAACTGGTTCCTAAACCGAATTTGAAAAAAAGTAAAAAAACAATATCGATTTAAAAAAAATTATGAATATATTTTTATAAATATATATTTTATTAAATTTTATAATTTAATTTAAAAGTATAATTGATTGAAATATTTCAAGTCTGAGTTTAATTTACTCAAATCGGACTAAAAATTGGAATGTTCTATGGGTTTAAGTTCTACCAAGACCCACCAAAACTGTCATTTAACCGACACTAGAAAGACCATCAATTTCCAAGGGTTTAAGTTCTACCAAAACCTACAAAAACTGTCATTTAACGGAGACTAGAAAGACCATCAATTCCAAGTTTTCACGGTCCGTCAAACAGTTTGGGTAGAATCTTAAACCAATGTCTTCAAATTGGTGTTGACCCAGATGGTCGGACCGTTTGGTTTGGGAACTGTCCAGGTAGGGATGGCAATTTTCCCTGTAAAATCGAGACCCCGCCCCACCCCACCCCGAACAGGGCAGGTTTTCCCTGACCCTAAACAAGGACTGGGCGGGGACGGGGAAAATAATTTTTCCCCAAACCGGGTATGAGGGCGGGGACGGGTTTTGTTTATAATTCCCCGAACTCGAAAGTAAATTAGTAAAATATCTCTAGGTTTAATATTGATATTTAAAATATCTCTAAGTTTTCCCTAAATTTGTAAAATCCTAGGATCCCATAATTTTATTTTTGAATTACTCCTAAAGTATTACAATTCAATTCTAAAATACCCCCAAATTCCTATATCCTATGTATAAATTGTCCATAAAATAGATAATTTTTAAGTAATTGCCTTGGAGCGGGGAAATTTCGAGTATTCCCCGTCCCCAATGGGGAATGGATGCCCCACCTCGAACCCGCCCTATCATCGGGGACGGGGTGGGTACGGGACAAGGTATTGTGACTTCGGGGCGGGGATGGGGAGGGGGTGCCCCACCCCAAACCCGCCCCGTTGCCATTCCTATGTCCAGGCAACCAGTTTTGTTTTACTTCAAACCCGGTGCCTAGCCAAAAATCATTGAATTGGTTGATGACATGTTGACTCAGGCGGTTAAACCATTAACCGTTCAACGGTTTTTAGCCATTTTTATTTTAATTATTTTTTAATTTTTGTCTGAACAAGCTATTTTTTCAAACCAAACAGTCAAACTGTCAACTCGGAAAACCAATGTCCATAATAGTTCCCGTTCCGATTCATTTTTTAAAACATTGCTTAAAACACTGCATAATCATATATGTATGTATCTTCGRATGGCTTTGGTTTGATTAAATCAGGTTCAGGCCCGAACTAACAAATACAGCACGTCCCAATCGTGTATTGAGAACATCTCCTAATAACAAATACAGGCGATGTTCTCATTGCACGCTGAGATGTGCATGTGGGACATTTTTAGGGCGCATTCTATGGGGGAGTGGGTGGGGGGCAGATGTGAACCGCAGAAGAAATCATGGATAGCACTTTAGGCTGCGTTTGGAGATGCAAATAGATTGTAAATCCCAGTTCAGGGTAAATTTACACTCTGGTTCACTTTTACTTGTATTTGGCAATATTACATTTTTTTGGTGAATATTACATTTATGCATTGACAAATGACAAAGCAATGCATATTTACATTGATAATAAGATGTAAAAGTACATCAGTAAATTTGTATTCAAGTGGGCTTTTGATAAAAAAAGACATATACTTTATTAGAATTCATGTTTGCATCCGTTACAGCTAAAAGTCTGTTTGGTAAGAAGTTAAATTAGTCAATACAAAACTAACCCAGTTTTACAATTTATATACACCGTTTTACATTCTACATATTTGCATTCACACTTATTTGCATTGTTTCCAAATACAACCTTARAAGTAAACCACAGAATAACAAATTCACATTGGCATAGCGTCCCACACAGGTGCCCCACATACACATCTTAACATACATTGGAAACATCTCTCATAATTGTCAATCGGAGATATTCTCAATATATGATTGGGATGTGCCATGAAGCGCATATGCAAATCCCAAGATAACATGCTTGAATTTGAGTTGGAGCTGGGCTTATAACCCCAACCCAGATCGAGGGACCAAGGCCCAGCCCAACATAGAATTATAATGATGTTATGTATAATGATTTTGGACACCTATATATTTTGATAAGGGGGCAGCCGAATTATATTTTAAAAAGTGATTCTTCCTGATAGACAAATGGGTTCAACTAGGAAAAGATATGATATTTGAAAAACAACTGAGTGAACTGATCAGTAAACTGGAATCATAAACATGATAGTGAATCAAGTGTTGTGTATCAAAATTTATAGATGAATTTTGATCGGTCAAAACTCTTTTCATATCATATCTTTCCCGTATCATAGATTTTTTCTAAATAAATATTCCTCCTGTCTTGAATATATCGTTAGAAAATAAGGGTTAATTGTTATTTTCACTAGGAATGTGTCTTATTTATAAAAAAATGATCTTCCCAAATCACCACTTTTGGTAGTAAACTCAATTTTTGAARGGTAGAAATTGAGTACTCTTGAGCGTGGCGTGGGGTGGGGGAGGAACTTAGAGATTATTAGAGACTCTTCTGTGCTTCAAATTAATTTGCCACGTGTAATTTATTTGGTTATTGGGAAACATACAAAGCAATCTGATATGCTAGTGTTTTTTGCACTGGGTTCGGGCTTATAACCTTGGGCTGAACTTAGGCCTAGGCCTAGCTAGACCCTGAATCCAAGTTTTGGGCTTTGAGCCAGACCAACAAAAGCCGTTCACCCCAATGCTCATTCCTAATAAAGTGGGTAGGGATATCGATGGGTTGGGTTTGGTACGGGTTTGACTCAATTCTAGTTCGACCATACAGTGCCCAACCCTATCCGACTTAAAAAATACATAATTTCTGAATCGATTAAACCCTATAGGGTCTAACTTGATATTGACCTGTTTTAATTGTATTTTTTAACACAATTTAAAAACTTAAAAACCGTTAATTTAAATTATGAAATTGTTTTATAGATTTTATAGTGTCACTTTGTTTTCCATTTAAAAAAGAAGAAAACAAAAATCAACATATAAATAAATCTTAATAAAGTTAGAAGTCAAAAAATTATAAGAATATTCTACATATATACAGAGTATCATAACCCAACAGGGGTGGGCCAGCCAAAACTCAAACCTGATTCAGGTTAAAGAATTAACCTGACCCTAAAGCTGAGTATCACTGATTTTAATCTAACCCTATACGGTCAGGTCAAACCGAATTTACCATTTAACCCAACCCCCATTGACATCCCTACTGGCCACAAAGCAGCCTTGCTGCTTCTATGCCATCAAATGCATCAAATGCACCAAGTTAGATGTAGACACAACTTTGGGTGGGTTCGGGTTGGTTGTTTGTTGAAATTTCAATAGATCCAGCATGAAGAAGGACCAGGCCCAAAGCCCAATGTTGTGTAAATTCTTTAAATTGGATACTTAACTTGCACCCTTACATGATGTTTGGCACCAATGTGTGTATGTGTTTTTTTTTTTGTGCTGTAAATTGGAATTTATGCATTGAAATAAGGAACAATTACAAATGGAGCAGTGGTCACCCAGCAAATGCTAGAAATCACTTCCCGATAGTTAGTGACTAAGAACATGGGACAGTAGATTAACAAGACAATTAACATGAAATAAATGGATAGAATTGTGATTTGCCACCAAAGCTACTGCAGCAATGAGAACAGATTTACTAAGCCAGGAGCAAGAGTGGTATACCTTTAATAGCTTGTCTTATTGCTGTATCAGAAAACCGTTCCAACACTTCAGCGTTCCAACTTCTGTCCTCATTCAACAAGTCACGTACACGCGCAGTTGAATCTGGAACCCCATGTAATGGGTATGGGAATACTGAAATTGGGTAGAGATGATACCCTTGGCCTTGGGTCCTTCCATATACCAATCCTCTTGCAACAACCAAGGGCCAACACATCACGCACCTTACAAATACTTCACCATGCATGTCCAATACCAATAGCCCAAGTCTTCWTGGGAATAAATTCATCATTAATGAAGTCTTCATWAGGGCTCAGTTTGAAAAGAGTAYACATGCATTTATATACAGTGCAAATAAATATAAAATAATAYAAAATATAAGGTTTTTCACTCTACAYATTTGCATTTGTACTCCTTYCAAATTGAACCTAGAAAAATGTTTTGACTTCAATATTTGCACCCATAAAATATGCCATGTCCAATACTGAATTTTGCTTCTATGATGCAAAAAATATATGGTATAGAAGGAGTTTTGACCAATCAAAACCCACCATAAATTTTGATAAATAATATCTTATT